CAAATGGCCCCCTCGAGTTCCAATTGTCGACCTGTGATGGATGGAATTGGAAGTCACCAAGACGGCCCGTGCCCGCCGTCGCCGCCGCTCCGCGACCAACGGCCCAGGTACAGGCACAGTACTGCCCTGTACGGGGTACAGAGGTGCGCTCAGGGCACAGGTACATGTACCCGCTACTTTGGGATGCGACCCCGGCGCCCATTGCCTCCAGGCCTGCTCGCGGCCGTCAATCTCCTCGCCTCTCGCCTGCCCGCGTCTTGGTCCCTTTGGTTTCGTCGCGGGCTCGATGCCCTGTGTCGCCCCCGGCCATTGTGGCCCGCCATCCATCGCGTTGCCTTACTCGTGCGCCCATACCTCCCCTCTCGAGAGCGCCGCCTCGTATGGCGGCAACGGAGGAGCAACAGAGCTAGAAAACTCCACGCCGCTTCTACTCCGTACTGCGGTGGGTTCGTGGATTCGTCAGGGTCCCGGCGGCCCCGTCGCGACCGTCGGCATGATGAAATTCATCAGCGCAGGTCCACCGCCGACTGGGGCGACGACTTTTAGGGGTTCGGCAGCCTTGGGTCCTCCTCCGCCCAGGCAGAATGGCAAGCGGGCTGGCTGGCAGGGTACGCCGTCACCGAGGTACATGCAATACCTTATGCTCCATTCACGCAACTCGTCACCCAGAATCAGCTCGCTCACAGTCAATTCATCAGTCTGCCCGACCTGACCTAGCGGCCGCGGTTCGAGTTCCATGAGACCCTCGCCGGCCCAGGTATCCGGTACCTCGACCCCGGCAGCTCAGCGTGCAAAGAGCCCAGCAGGGCGGAAAGGGGACCGACCGGCCACCCCAATTGCTTCCCCCAAATCTCGAGGGTGGTGGGCCCACCCGCGTTGCGAGGCTGCAAGAGGTCGCAGCGTGGCGCGGCGGGCTTCCTTTGTCGCGACTCAAATTGGGCAATTTGCGTGGCCGACAAGGGGTATCCGCGGGTCCGGGAACGAGAAATTTGCTTCTTCGCCTACCCGTGTTTCTGCTCGCCTGCCCCTCGACGGCAAGGGCCGCCATGCCGCCTCTCGCGATCGAGGGGGAGGGGCTGGGGAACCGCCCGCGAACGGCGCGCAGGGCATGGGCGGGAGGGGAAAGGCAGGGCATGGTCGTCGTGACGGCCGGCGGGATGCGGGTGATGTGATGACGAGCTTGGGAGGGTTTGCCAGCACCGTTGGCGTGCAGCGGGCGCACAGGCAAGGCGCATGCGCGTGCGATGAATGCGCTCTGGGGACCTCGTATGGAGGAGAGCGATACGGCGCGACAGGCTCGAGGCGGGATCCCGACGCCTCGTGCTGCTGCTGTCGCTGCGGCTGCTTCTGCTACTGCTTCTGTTTACCAGAGCAAGCGGACGGCTCCATTCGTCCACCCGCGCCAGACAGGTCAGGCCAGAATGGGATCCTGCCGTTGCCAGAACGGGGCGAAGCGCGATGCGGGATGCAGCCGGCCGGGCACTTGGGCTGGTGCCAACGAAGCAAACATGAGCGTCACCGGCATCGCATCGCGTCTGCGCCTGGGCTTGCCTGGCCTGGCAGGTATCATGGCGTGGGCAGCGAGGCGCACCGCAGCCGTTGCTCCCAAAGCAGAGGCGCGTGTCTCGATTCGACGGATGATCCCGCGGCCGTGGCGGTCATGGCAAATGCATGCAATCGCAACCACCAGACGCCGCTGTGCTTCGTCCCGAGCAGGCGAAGCGCGTCGTGTTGCCCGTCCAATGCCATGTACTCGGTACGGGCCAAGTCCCGGGCCTGGCCCGTCCGCCTGTCAACTGCCACGGCACGGCCGGGGTGATCGTCCATTGATGACGGCCGCTGACGGGGGGGGCCAAGAAGGCAGAGAATGAAGCCCCAGAGTCAAACAGGAAAGAAGAGGGCCCTCGGGCTCAGGACGGCGGGCTCACGCCCATCCAAGGTGGCAACGCTCCGGTTTTTTAGATGAACCGCCGGGCATTTTGAAATGGGCCACCGGCGGCCGCTGGCTCGTGAGCTGCCAACTGCCATTGCCCATCGTCACGTCGGCGCGACGCAGAGGCGCATACTAGAATGGGCGACGGGAGCATGGACAGACGCGGAAGTGCCAGGCGTGCGTGCCGGGTGCCTCCCACGAGTCATCATGCAGCCCCCAGGAGCTGAAGTGGCAGCACGCGTCGGCGCCTCCAGCGTCGCATTGTTCCGCCCACCGCCGACTGTTGGGTCCTCCCCATCCCCTTCCAAAGACCCGCCCCGCAGCACCGCGAGCGCCCGGGTACCTGCTGTAAAACCTGCTGGCGGTGCCTGTGTGCCTGAGGCGCTGGCGGCAGGTGTGCCTCAGGACGAGTCGCGTCTGGCCGGAAGGAGAAAGAAGGGGGTGACGATGGTGGATGGATGGATTGTTGGAGGGGGCCACGGGGGAGCTCGGGGGTGCGCCACAGGGTGTGTGGGTGGATCGGTGCTCCCTCCAGCCCCGGAGTTTGGGGCCCGGCCCCTGGTACTGCGCTCCGTAGTGCCACTGAATTGGATTCTTTGGGCGGGCAGGCAGCCCAGGCAAGCAAGCAGGGCCAGAGGAACGATGCCGGTCGCTGGAGAGCCTGAGAGCAGACCATCAATCTGGCCTCAGGCACCAGGCGACTTGTCACTAAAAGCAGGATTGCGCGCCAGTGTTGAATGAATGTACTCCGTACCTCAGAGTCCACGACGCGGCTGGGCGCTCACGTTCACGTTCACGTTCGCAATGATCCCCGCCGGCAGCGTCTCCGCTATGCGGACCCTGAAATTGAGCCCGAAGGCAAGCCAAGCTCGCGTTGCATTGCCGCATGATTACGCCGACATGCCGCACCGGCCGGCTGGGCTGGGCTGGCTTCCAGAAGCACGGCAGTCGAGCGCACGCTGCCAAAGTGCTAACTTGAACGAGAAGTTTGCGCCGCGTCGCCAGGAGCGTCCGTCATGCAGAGGCCGCCAACAAAAGGCGCGACATGCTTGCTTGGCCTTGAGTATCCCGACATGTCTGGCGGCTCCGTGAATCAGGTGGCATGGAGGTTGCTTTTCGGGGCAGCGGCCGCGTCCCTCGTCCTGTCTCACAGCGCACTGACGGGGGCAAGGCCCTCGGACCACCTGCTCTGGCGATGCCAGCCTCCGCGACACCGCCGTCGGCCCGTTGCGCCTGGCAGCTGGCTAGTAGCTGGCTTAGCTCGTGCAGTATGTAGCTCTCCAAGAGCCGCTCGTGGCGGATGAAATCTCCAAAGGGCGGATCGGTCCGGTTTCGCCGCCCACCGCGCGACGTCGTCGTCGACGACAAAGACGCCGGCGCAACGGGCTCGGCCGCCACGTCGAGCGTTCGCTGAAGAAATGGTGCGGCATGCTACGGGGCCGCCTGGAGGGGGGCGGATCCAGAATGCGAAAGGGCTCTCTCTGTCTCTCCCCCGTTTCTGCTCCGTCACAATGCCCGCGACCGCAGCTTGGCAGATGGCAGCCAACGGATTCATGCCCACCGCGAGGCATGAAACGCCGCATCCCACCGCGGCAACAGCCCCCGGCGAGCCGAAGCAAAAGGCGCGCAGGGATCCGATCCAGAGACATCGCGGCCTGAGGCTGCTGTTGCTGCTGTTTGCCACGGACGGTCGAGGCATAAACCCGTCGTCGCGCGTCCTCGCAGCAGCACAGCACAGCTCTGGCCACGACCAACAGCATTCCTCGCCGTGTCTCTGTCCGGGGCCTGGGTGCCCCCGGCTCGACCATGACCTTTACTAGTGGGTGCTTGCTTCGCATGGTGGCATTGTGATGTCGCGTCTCTGCGGGTGCGTGTGGCCGCGCTGACGTCTATTTACATTTTGTTTGCGTCTGCCTCTGCGTCTGGTTGCGATCCCCCGATGACAGACGGCGCTTGACGTCGACGACCGCCGCTCATCAGGGCCTGGGCTACCGGCACCCTCGGCGTTGGCGCCCACGTTCAGATGCTCACGCAGGCGGTAGCTCCAACGGGAATCCATGTGCCTGGATTCATGCCCCCTTGAGACCGCGTGCCCGGTTTGCCAGGGTCTGGAGAGCCGCCGCGCGGGTAGCTGTACCCTCGCTCCCGGTGCGTCCGCTAGCAGCGAGGCTAGTGCCCAAGGCCCCGTCCGCCGTGTGCCCGGTCTCTCTCTCTCTCTCCGTTCGTCGTCACCGATGCTGATGCTGGAGCTCGTCCCAGGCTCGCCATCGCGCGTTGCTTTGCTTTGGGGAGGCTGGAGCCGGAGGAGCCCTGCTGCATTCCGTTGTTCGTTTTGCCGCGAGTGGTGACGCCCTAGATATGCGTGACGAAGGCGGGCAATCGACCTGCTTGGCCGGGAGCGCGCTTGGGCATCCGGGCACCACCCGCTTTGCTCCCTGGCCAGCCAAGCCAGCCGGGCAGCTCCCAGCGTCAGAGCGCGACGGGCCTTGCGGTGGATCCCAAGGGTCTTGCCGCTGGATAGTCTCCCGCCGGTCCCCCCACCGATCATCTGGACGAGGGGGGAGAGGCGGTGTCGGCGAACGGTCTGAACGACATCATCGGCTCGCTGAGAGGGAGGAGTCGGACCCTGGAGAGACCCTTTTGTGTGTTGCTTCAGGCGCTGGTGGGCGGCGATGCGAGTCAGCGAGGAATGCGTCCTGTGTTTCACGAAAAGGCGAGACCTTGTCGACCATTTTTCATGACATGGACGACGTGGCGGCCGGTCGTCTTGTCTCTTCACGCGGTTTCAGATGATACCTGCGGCGCGGGAGTATGGGTGGCAACGGAACTCGAACCTGTGGGCGCACGAGCTCGACACGCACTGGCTTGATGAGGGGGGAGCCGAGAACCGCTTCACCGTAGCAAAGCGCATACTCACCGACCCCGGATGTCTCTCGCGGGCGGTGGGAGCGCTCCATGACTCTTGCACGCTCCTCTGGGGGCGCATTGCAGCTTGGCAGAGTGCGGGGACGAGGGGCTTCCGCCGCATGGAACAGGCCGTAGACGCGGTCGAGCTCTTCGTAGAGGTTCTGGATGGGGAGCTTGCTGGAATGATTCCGTTCGTGCGTGACGGGGCGTCCTTGGCGGTCATGATGGCTTCGCTGATGCTGTTTGGGAGAGCGTTCGCCGCAACATGACTGACACCGCACAACGGCGAGGCTCTTGCAGATTGCCCATCACGGAGCTCTGCGGGTGTAATGGGCCTTGGGCGGCACAATCATGCACTCCGAGGGCGTTGATACTTGCTTCCGACACATCTTCACGCATATCTCACGTCGCGATGGTGAAGTCGTGATGCTACCCTGCACTGGCGATGGCTCGTCGACACTTCACTCCCACAACCTCCCAGCGACAACTCGCCACGGATGCCTTGTGCAAGAAGATGAGCCAAAGTCAGCTAACGCTATTTTAATTGAGCTCGTGCGAGTAGCGCCACTTATGCGCGCAGTCCAAGTGATGTCGATGCCCCGTCGTTGCGTATCACGGCCAGCGTCGTCCGCTTGGAGACCATACCCAGGCGCGAACACAAAGCGAGAAACTTCATCGTACGAGCCTCGGTGTTTAAACAATGAGCTCTGGCGCATCAAAGAACACTCGTTGCACTCACAAACGAAAGGCAGGCTGATCGCCGTGAAGGCTTGAGCATCCGCCCTGTGCCATTCAACCCCATCACGACGCCGACGCGCGAGCAACATCACAAGTAAGAGCGCCAGAGTCGTGATTCAAAGACCCAACGTGTGATGCTGCTTCAGGCGCCCGTGTACGAACTGCAAACGGCTCTCCGCCGAAAGCCGAGAGAAGATTGTGTGCGTTTGCAGTGGACAAGGCAGGTGAGCGACTGGGTGCTTCCTGCCTCGCACAGGCACACTTACATCAGATGAAATTTGCCCTCGGGGCATAAAACCTCCTCTTCGCCAGCGTTCGTCTGCCTCCTTTTTTCACTCCTTCGCATCGCTCCGATATAGCGCGTGAACTTGACCTTCTGCCGCCTGCGGTTCTAACTCACCAGTTGACTTCCTTCATCTTCTCGCTTCTCTATTCACTTCACTCATTCACACCACTCTGCCACAGCGTGCAGACTTGAGCTTCTCCTGCTCGCTTCGTACAAACACCTGCTTGCCTCCCCATCTGCTGAGTGGAACTCTATTGGGTCCCGACAGTCACATACTTGCGGCCTCGAAGCGGCTTCATCTTCAATAGTCCGGAGCGCGTCGGAAGAGTCACTGAGTACAGCCCCGGTTGTGAAAGCGGGTTTACCGTCAAGCTGCGTTGACCTGTTCGCCTTCCGTAGCAGAGTCGAGATGGCTGGTCCCCAGGAGTCCAAGTCAAACACCAACCAGTGAGTGCATTCCGTCTCCCATATAGCACGTCCCTGGTCTGTGGTCGAGGCTATGCTCGAAAAGCAGAACTGACATTGCACAGTGACATTACGTACTCTCACGGTGCCAGGTAAGATCTAGGAAGTCGCCTGCATCGCACCTAGTAACTGACAATCTCAAGGTTCAAGTGCAAAATGGGGGGAGAGTGGCTGCCCATCACCGAGTTCTCAAGGAACCAGCGAAAGCTCATAGACCATCAAGTCGGACGTGGCGGCCGTGTCGACACCGCCAACTCGGGTATGATTTGTCGCCACCATACCACTTCAACAGTCCGGGAGATCCGTTGCGAACTCTGTCAATTGATCAAGCCCGAAAACGAGTTCAGCACGAACAGCAAGAAGAGCGGCGACAATGTGAGTCACTCGACTTTGCTACACCGGTTGATTCTGACACCCTTCGCAGCTCTGCCGACGATGTGTTGCATGGGGCGAAACGCAAGAACCAGAGGTTACTCCATTTGCTCTCGAGACAGGGCATATCTCCGTCGAAGAAGATGTCAAGAAGCCCGGAGATAGACGATATTGGGACGAAGCAGACTTCTTCGTTGGTGCTAAACCGCAGGTAAGCATGGCCTTTAGAGTGAGGCCCGGACAACGACTGATGAATGCAGGCGCCGATGGAGGACTTGGAGGGGCTCGGTCTCGAGCACCTCAGTCTTGACCAGTTGGAGAAGGCACGATCTGCCATTTCGCACAACACAGCCGGTGGCCGGGGCGAGGCATCTGGTGCTGGTACACCTGCGCACACCAGCTCGACAGTCGGTTCCCGGGGTCGATCGCAAGCTCCAGGTTTACCGCCTCATCTCGCTCGAGGCCGAGGCTCGGGTACCACGAATAATGAGGCATCTGGTCTCAACACACCTGCACATCCCAGCTCGATGGCTGATTCCCGAGAACGGTCCCAAGCTCCAGCTCTGCCGCCGCATCTCGCCCGGGCCCGAGGTAGTGCCATGGATTCCGAGACGGACAGTGCGTCTCTGAAGATGTCTGGCAGCCGGGCTTCTTCGAGTGGTGCCATGCCTGCACCAGCCGAGGTCGCTGCCAATAACCTCCCGCCGCACCTCCGGAGCCGAATCACGCCAGCCCCTTCCGCGGCAGCGCCTTCAGTCTCTGGTGGACGACCTGCAAGCACTGTTTCCACTGCCACGACGGTGAGAGACGAGAGGCAGCGTAGACAGGAGGCCAGCCAAGTCGTATTCAACGCCTGGGGTCCGGATGGTCAGCGCCGCACGGCGGTGAAGACCCCGACCGTTGTGTCGACGACAGACCAGAGCTCTGTGGCAAACGACTCGTCCGAATTTGAGGACGATGGCTGGCAAGTCGCGTCTGGCGGCAGGGGCAATCGCGGCAGGAATAACTGGCACAAGGCGCCGCGGATGCCCCAGGCGGAGTTGGGCACCCAGACCAGGTTAACGCACATCAGTGCCCGCTGCGACGACCCCGTGGCTGAGGCGAAGCGCCGTGCCGAGTACTGCCACTCGGACGACTCAGATTACTGAGCGGGAGTTGCTCAAGGAAGCAGGACGGGAGAGCTGGGCGTGCCGGGACGATGACTGGGTTGGCATGCGTGCACTGTGGAATTGGGAGACATAGAACTGGTGTTGACAGGGCCTCATGCGGCCCAATGGAAGGATGCGTGTGGATATGAGCCGAGGGGGGCACACTTGGGACAGTTTGCGGATGCAAAGGAACGTAGCGTAGAGGAACGCGCCTTAGTTTTGAGGAGGACTTCACGAGCTTAGCTATACCTTGACGCATGACATTCAAAGCATTTGATTCATTTTGGCGCAACCGGCGGCCCCGTCAAGTTGCGCTGTCTACCTCGCTGGCTAAAACCCAGGCCACAAAGGGGCAACCCGCCTCGAGTGCCCTCCGCCAGGGCAAAGCTGTCAGCTCGCCGGCTCTCCCTTGGCAGCTCCCTTACAATACATGAGCGGCGAACTCTCGCGCCGCGCAGACTTCCCCGTCCTGTTGCTATAATCCGACACTCTCTTCTTGCTCCCCCGTAGTCGCCCGTCGTGTGTGGGTGCGTGTACGACGGATGAGAGTCGCCCACCCTCGCCACCTGATCGGTGGCCGCTCCCAAAGGGCTGCCATATCGCCATGAGTTTCGTGTACATCAGTCGCGTCCTCTGCTCCCTTCTTCCACCGCCACTTCAATGGCCTGCTCCGCAGAATCGAGAGCGGCTCTCCAGCCTTAACTCCACCCATCAGGACCGACCCATTAGGAGAGGCCTGTATATATCCGCTTTGGCTTGGACCGTCTGCCTGTGCTCGTCCTGCAATAGCCCAGCTCAAGCCATACTGTCGTGCTCGTTTGACTGCTGTCGTTTCCGGTAGCGGCAATGTGTATGCCACGCGAAAAATGGAGTGTATATGGAGTGTATGTGTGCATGTTGCGTGTTGCGTTTTGCGTTTGCGCATGTGCGCGCGTATATGTTTTCGTTTTGGTCGCTTTTCGCTTCCCGTTTGCACCCCCAGGAGGCCCGTCTTCACAGCTCGCGGTCCTCCTTGCGCTCAAAGAGCTGGCTCGGGGGCGCATTCACCACCGCCTCGGCGTCACCAACCTGTCTCCGCTCCGTCACCTCGCGTTGGAGCTTCAGACGCTTGCGCAGAATCAGGGATGGGGATCGTGCCCCGGCGGCGTTTAATTGCTATTGGAGGGGCTCCGACGAGGAGGACAGGCGGTTGAGGTGCAAGTACACGTCGGTGCCGTATCTGCGAGACGTCAATAAAGGGTTCGGTCTGGGTGGATAGCCCGCAGGAGAGAGCAGGGGGAGGAGGGTTTACCCTTCCATGCTTATGAGCTTCAGGTCGCCGCCAAAGTAGCGCGCGTACAGGCGCGATATGGGTAGACCGTAGCCAAACCCGGCCATCGGCGCCTTAAAATCGCTCTTGTCAAAGTCTGGGTCCAGGTTGGGCGTCCGGTCGACCGTCGTGTACATGTACGTCCACACCAACGGAATGGCGCTTCTCGGAATGCCGCCGCCTTCGTCGGAGATTTTGATGGTTATGTCCTCCTTGCCCTCGGCGACAATGACCTTGGTCACAGGGAACTCTTGCTTGTCCATGCCGTGGGTCTCGACGACAGCTCTCAGGGAGTTCTTAAGGGTCTCGAAGAGCATGTGCGACAGGTGGCCGGGGACGTACATGAAGTCGAGGTTGGGGTTGCAGACGAGCTGGATGCGAGGCGCCTCGAACAGGCCGTAGTGGTCCTCGCAGACGAAGCGGGCGTTCTCAATGGCCTCCTGCGCGAGGTCCTTGACGTTGGTCTTGGTGCAGATGACGCCGACGTACGTGGGGTCGCGGTGGTGGCTCTGGTCGGTGAGGGCAATGTGCTGGCCGATGAGCATGCGGATGCCGATGCGCGACATGTAGAAGCGGTCGAGGAAGGACTGGATGCTGCCGTCAATCTGCATGCGCTGGCGGCGGCGCTTGTACTCGAGGATGCCCTGGGCCATCGTGGTGACGACGCCGTCGTGGCGACGCTTAATCTTGTGCAGAGTCTGCGCAAACTGCTTGTTGTACAGCTGCAGCTCTGCGGGCCAATCGCCCGTGTCGTCGACGGTGGCAAAGTAGCGTCTCGAGAGCGACCGCGCCTTGTTGCCGTTGCCGTTGCCGTTCTTCGTCAGGCCGCCCCAGCCCGAGGACTCGCCCTCGTCGATGGAGGGGTTCGGCGTCGCCTCGGATAGCTGTTGCAGGATGCCGCGGCCAGCGTGCTTGGAGGGCTTCATCAGGCGGTCGCGAACGTCTCTGCTGAGGTCGGGCCTCGGCAGCTGTGTGATTTCCTGTGCGGGCGGAGAAGGGTTCGGTCAGCCAGTGCGGGCGCGAGCGAACGCAACCGAGGGGCCGGCATCGTGTACCTCAAACGACTGGGCGTACCAGTCCTTGACCTTTTGTACCGAGGGCATGTCGTTGAGGCCGTCGGGCAGGTCCTCGAGCTCCTGGACGCGGTGGGCCAGGCGAATGGGCAGCTCCTCGGCGAGGAACTGCGAGGCGCGGAACAGGGTGCCTGGGGAGGGTCAGCGCGACGCGGAGACGCGGTCAATTGGGGCACGAGGCACGCACCGGTCGAGGGCTTGTCGCCAAACTGCACCATCTGGCGCAAGCTCACGCCGGTGGCGGGGAACTTGGCATAGTGCCTGATGGTGTCCATCAGCCTCTCCGAGGCTCTCCACGCCATGGCGGGCTGTCGGGCGGTTGGCGGCGAGCAGCCGGCCGCGTTGCGTGGTCTGTGGCGGGCGTCTGGCGAAGCGCGTTGCGATGCGATGGCAGAGGTTTGTGTCTGTGGGTGCCGCCGCGGGACGAGGGACGAGTGGGAAGCGAGGATATCCGGATGACCGATTGGGCCGCGGGCGAGAGAGAGGGAGAGGGAGAGAGAGGACGAGGATAAACAGCAACGACACAAAAATGCAAGTGAGCCAGCCGATGAAACGCCTAACCGCTCGTCATTGACGCGACAGAGGAGAAATGTGTTGATCAGCTGGACACACGAGCGTCGGGGATCGGGAGATGTCGTGCGCAGAATGTCGTAACCGTACCGTGGCCGGCCGGGGCAGCTGGCCGTCGCGCGGCTTCGGAGAATGGCGGGGCGGGCTCTGAGTCAAAGACGGCGAGCGATTGGGCCCCGCGCGAGCTCCCGGTCACGGCTGGCGTTGGCGACGAAAGCCGAGGCCCATGGATGGGAGGCGGAGGCGGAGGGAGGGAAGCGATGGTGGGCGGGTGGCTGTTGTGGATATCGCTCTGGGGTGGGCGCTGGCCTGCCGATGATTGGCACCTGATGCCGGGCAGAGGGAAGGAAAAAGGTGAGAGTGAGGCTGGTGCGCGGTCGAGATGGGAGACGTGATGTGATGTGAGACGAGGATGAGATGTTGAAGGAAGTGGAAGAGAGGAAGCTGGAGCAAGGCGACGGGAACCTGGAAGCTGGCAATGTGCAGCAGCTGGCCAGTTGGTGGCAATGGCCGCTGCAAAGCCGGCTGTCCGTTCGCTGATGAGACGGGATGGAAGCGGCTGGAGGTCGCGTGGGCGCCCCCAGAGTCCCTGGCCGGCAGGCGTCCCCAGCTGCCAGCTCCAGCAGCCGGCCAGCTAGCGAGCTCCCGTCACCCGGTATTGGTGTCGGCACACTGGCCCAGCGTCACAGCGCGTTGTCTCGGCGGCGGCTGTTAATGCGATACCCACGGTCGGCTACCTGGAGCGTGTACAGCGCGGGTGGGAGGTGGCACAAGCTGGAGGCGCGCTGCAAACAGACGGACGGACAATCAACTCAATCTCGACGACGGGCCGCTGTCGATGTTTCATCGAGACAATGCGCGGCAGGACACGGTGGCAGCCAAGGCCACTTTTCAACCGGGCTCCCTCCAGGCGTGTTACTGTATCCATCTCCATTGCCGTTCCATTTATGGCCCACGGTGCATCTGCGGATGGACCGTCATACACGTACACCCGGATGTTCTCCGCGCCCGTGCTGGCGGACTGGCGCCGTCGAGATCACGTCGCAGGCCCCGGCCCAGCCCAGTCCCTCGCCGGCAGGGGCGCATTCTAAAGGGACAGATCCATGCCGCCGTCGTGCGCCGTCATGCAGGCGGAGGATAGGGTGTGTTGTCGTTGCGTGCGCGACCCATTGGGTCGAGGCCTGGGTGGGCGACCATGCGTTGATGATGATGCTGCCCTGGGTTGTGGCAGATGCGGCACATAGCTTGGACTCTGGAGCTTGCAGAGCGCGGGCAGTCAGTCTTCAGCGACTGCAGGCGCTCCCGCATGCGGACGACGACGGCCACGGCCACGGCCAGGGGACACCCCGGCCCCATTAAATGCTGGAACCGCCCCTCGGGCGACCGCACTCGTCACGGAACCTGGAACGTGCCCGCCTGCGGGCGTCTCCCCACACGTTCTGGCAGCACCGACAAGGGTGTGTTGCCGGCCCGCCAATCATTCACGTGCTGATTCTCTGCCGGGTGCTTATGCTCGACCGCCTCTTTCACGGGCCGCGACGGAAAGTCAGGGCATGGCGTGGACAAACGTGGATGCTTGCCTGCTCGGTCGGGCATGCCCAACCGACGGCTGCGACTGTGCCTGTGCCCTGCAGACAGCCCGGACCTGGTCGCCCGGCCTGCGTCTGCCCCCGGCGGCGTCCCCTCTGGCTCGGAGGCTCGGGCCATCGGAGCCTCTACGCTCGTATTCCGGGGCCCGTCCCGGCTGCCACCTTGTTGACCATCCGCCGTGCAGTGAGCTTGTGAACGCGTGAGGCGGTCGTGGATCGTAGTACCGAATCCTCCATCGTTCAGCCAGTGGCCAGGCACCCCAGAGTGAGGTGAGAGTTACCTTAGTGGCTCAGTCTGTGGCTCAGTACAGGGGCCGACCAACACCGACATCCACCCAACCTCACCGCACTGGACAGTGGACGGACACCGCCGCCACACACACGCACATGGGCCAAAGTCAAAGGCGCCGGGCGCTCAGGCCACTCCGCCGCACCTCACCTCACTGACCTGCGCCCTGCAGTCCCCGGCGCACAGCACTGGGCCACAGGGGCCTGCCCTCGTGCTGCCGTGCCTGACCTGGCCTGACCTGACCTCCAACCCGCCCGGGGCCGTGGCCGCCAGATCCTGGGGCAGCAGGAGGCGCGGCGCGCGCTAACCGACCGCCACTCTCCATCCGCCTCTCTGCCGCCCACTTCAGTTCAGTCGGTGAGGCTCTTTCGCGTCCGTCCGGCACCATCTGCGACAAACACCAACGCGCTCGACCGGGGGCCCGGTGAACTTTTTTTGTTGGGGGGGACGACGAAGCGAACGAGTCCTGCCGCTGGAGTCGGTCGTCGAGGGCATCTCGCTCGTCCGGATGAGCTTCTGACGACGCCATCCTCGGAGGCGCCGTCGTCATCCATCCCACTGTTCCCAGCTCTTTGCCCGGCACGAGGCGCGAGGAGAGTGATTCTGCCGGACCAAACACTAAAACGAAATAGGCCGACAGAGCTCAACCCACACCGACCTCGGTGAGCAAGCTCAGCTTCATGAGCTCCCCGGCCACTGCCATGAGCCATCACGGCGACTACGCCGACCCGGCCTCGTCTCCGCTCGCGCAGCGACAGGCACGCCAGCATTATCATCAACAGGCCGGGCAGATGCATCGCGAGGCGCTGGATCAGCCGAGTCCTCCACCCCCATGCGCCTGCGACCGGCGCCGCGATGTCCTGAGCCCGACCCTGAGCGACCGCGCCGCCGCCAGCAGTCCGCGGCCCGTCGACAGACGCCGCAGCCACAACAGCAGCGGCAGCTGGGACGGGAGCCCGTCGCACAGCCGAAACAGCTCCTTTGGTCACCACAGCCGGAGTGGTAGCGACAGAGGAGGATTCCGCGACGTGGTCGGCGGCGTCACCACTCCGTCGCCTCCGCCGCCGGCGTTCCTCTCCAGCCCCAGCGTCGCGTCGAGCCTCGCCTTTTCGACCCCGGCGCTCGGCAGCTTCAGCCCGCTGCGGCGCGAGCTCTCGCGCACGACGACGCTGCACGACGATATCGACCAGCAGCAGCAGCAACAGCCGCAGTCGCCCGCGCGCCTCTCGAGGCAAGACCTCGCCAGGCGCCTCAGCCAGCTTGCCCAGCGCCTGAGCTACGACGATGGCGGCAGCGGCGGCAGCGCAGACGACCACGTCGACGAGCTGATGCTCCAGGGCCAGCTCGACCAGCTCGAAAAGGCCTTCCTCTCCCGCCCGCCGCCGCCGCCGCAGCAGCGCAGCGCAAGCGCCTTTGAGATGCGCAGCAGCCCTCCGCGCAGCGACCACGCCGGGTCCGCGTCGGCGCTCGCGTCGCCCGCCTCGTCGCTCTTCCGCTCGCGCTTCTCGGACCTGTCGGCCTCGCTGCAGCTGCAGAGAGAGCGGGAGCGCGAGGCGGAGGAGCTCGGCCGCCGTCGGGAGCTCGAGCCCGCTCCCAGGCCGGGCATGACCGTGCCCGAGGCGAAAAAGGTGATTGCCGAGATGGGCAAGCTCAATGACGAGCTCTCGACGGTCGTGAGCAACCTCCGCGCGCGCCAGGAGGAGTCTGATGTGAGTGGTCGCCTCGTTCTCCATGGTGGCCTCTTTCTCGGTCAAGGGAGTTTCGCTGACACGCCTTGCAGCACATCCACAGCCTCCTCATCGAGCGCGCCGAGCGCGCGGCTCAGCGCATCATCTTTCTGCAGCGCCGCATCGCCTACCTGTAAGTGTCCTCGCGACTAGCCCTTGGCCCTCTCACTCGAGCCTCAGCTAATACAATACTGCCACAGCGAGGAAGAGCTCCAGGAAAACGACGACGAGCTGCAGCACCTCCGCATCTGCCTCAAGGCCGTCGAAATCCAGCTGCCCCCGCACCCAGACGCCGAGCTCCTGCGCTGCATCGCCACCTTCAAGCACGACTACCAGGCGCTCAAGAAGAAGCGCGCCAACCGGCACAGCATGACGAGCAGCGACGACAACACGAGCTACGCTGCCTCTCCCTGAAGCCTGGACCCTCCTCCGCCCCTCTTCAATCCTTTCAACCCCTTCAACCACTTCTTCGGCCTCCCGCCCCTCCCGTGCCCAGCACATCTCCCGCCGACTTACGCCTCCTCTAATCCCTCGGAACGAAAAAGACAACCACTTATGAGAACCCCCCATGGACCCTTATGAGCCCATGCACGCCACGAAACCAGTCATTCACGTCACGAATATCACGTCTTGTCGCATGTTCGTTGCTGTTGTAACCCGCCCCCCCGTCACGCGAATCGGAGAAGACACTACTGCACATACGGCCACCCCGTCGCCGCGCAACTCGGCCTTGTTTTATATACCTGTCCAGCCAGCCACCCAGCCAGTCAGCCGGCCAGTCAGATTGCATGGGATCAACAACACCCTCGATCCCCTCCCCCCTCCCAACTGCCCTCCTTCTGTTCTTTTCACTTGTTGTTTTTGTTTTCTGCATCAAGCATAGCAAGCAGGCGGCCAAAATCGGCGACTTACACACAGAGGGAAAGGCATCCTTTCGGGCGGGTGCGGCGCCTTCTTGCCACACACGCCCCCTTTTTTTTTTTCACGCGACACGCCGCAAGCCAGGATAGGGTTTGTTGGAGCTGCGTGACGCCAGCTCATGGAAGAGAAATGAGAATGAAGATGAATATATATCATGACTCGCCTGATGTTGGGAGTGAGTACATAATACGCAGTGGCTTTATTATGTCCTTATCGTGACAGTCTGTGGCCCCCTTTCAACTTCCCCCCAGCCCCTTTTCCGTTTATGATGCTCAATCTGGATTGTACACGCCAAACACTCATCATGAGGTTGCTACAATACCTGCGCCGGATCCTCCACTCTTGTGTAGCCTTGGTCATTCTCTTTCCACTGGCGATAATAATACCCGTGCGCTGTCCCTCGCTCTCAATCTTTGAAAATGCTTGCAATGGTATCGATCAATCTCAACGTCCTCCCCACAGACGCCCAGCTCAGCCCCCGTATCGCGGACGCCGCGAATGAGCAGCCGTGTCCCTCTCCCTCAGAAACTCCTCGTAAGTCGGCCCCGGGCCCGACTCGCACCGTCCCTGGAAGAGCGCGTAGTTATCCGCGCGGTTGAGCGTCGCGGACGAGACGCCTACTGAGGACGGCGGCGCCGCTGGCGGGGCGACCTGACAGTATGATGCGGGCGGACACGCGGTAGCATGTGCAGCAGCGGGAAGAGAGGAGGAGACAGCCGGGGGAAGAGGGGGAGGAGGGGGTGATGGAAGAGCAGCGCTCGGCTCCACGTAGCGGTACGACTCTTCAGGGTGAAGTACGAGGCTGCTGCGGTCGCGCTCCCGCCTGTGCGCGTCGCGGCGGCCCCGCGGGGACCTGTCGTCCCTACGCCGAGGGGTTTCTTCCTCGACGTACGTGGTGATGACGTCGCGAGATCGGCGCTTGCGGTCCTCATCCCGGTCATCACGCCCCGCCGCCGCCTGGTGGTATCGCGACGACCTACCGGCGCTGGGCCGCCCGCGTGCCGACGAGTGATGATGCCCACTGCCGGTACTCGATGGGACCTCAATGTAGACGGGACGCTCCGAGCGCGGGTAGTTGTACCTCCGCCTGTGTCCACTGCCGCCACTACCATCGGCATAGTCGCGCGACGTCGGGCTAAGGCTGCGGGCAATGGCGTCGTAAAAGGCGGCCGTCCACGACGAGGACGAGCCCTGGCGCGACGACGACGACGGCGAAGACGGCTCCGCATACCCGTGCATGGCCTGGTCCCACTCCATGACCGAGTTGGAGACGCGCTGGCGCAGCCGCTCGTGCGGACGCGCGGGGAACAAATGGCGCGAAAGCTGGCGTGGGAGTCTCTCCGGCGGATGGTGGTGACGGCTGGACGGCCTGGCGCTGCCGACGGGTGGCACCTCGATGGGCAGGCTGGCGGTGACGCGGGTGAGCCGGCGTGCCTCGATGTCGGGCGTGGCCTGCATAAAGTTGGCCATCCAGTCGGCGAAGCCGTCGGTTGTGAGACCCGGAATGTCTTGGTGGTACCCGCGATCTCGCGGATCGCTGCTGCCATGGAGGAGGTAGTAGTCGCAGCGGAGGTCCTGGTACAGGCACTTGAGACTCTGAAGGGACTTGCGCGAGTACGTGTCGAAGATGCCTGCAGGAAGAGTCAGCCGAATCAATCCCATATCCCGGATGATAACGATCGCGAGATAGAGTACTCACGTTGAAAGGGGTAGAGCTCCTTCTCGAGGCGGAAACGCCGGTAGAATGAGTAGAGCTTGTCCGGTGTGATGAGTGTCGACCCTCGGGGCTCAAACTCATCGTTCTGGATGGCTCATGTTAGTCGCTGACGGTGAGCCTGGAAGGCAGGCGTCTTACAATGTAATTGGCCAGCCCATAGAGGATCTGGCGCAGCCGAACCGTCGGCTCGCCACTGCCGGTGAAGAGCCTCCCCCATTGGAGGTCAATGTCGGACAGCCCCTGGCCGGTGGCGGTAGTGGGCGATGTCGCAGCTGTGGCCGGAGCCGCAGCCGGGCGGGGCGGGTCTCGGTGATGGAGTTTGGGCATGGGCCGGTCCGAAAAGTGGACCGTCGGCCGGGGCTTGGGGCTGGACGCCCGGGACGCTGGCGGGGTGAGGTAGCAATTTCGGGGGCTAAGGGGTGCAGCAGCTGGCTTGTGAGGGGGAGCTTCTTTCTGCGGCGCTGGCGTCGTCCCGACTGAGACATTTGGAAGATTGGAGCAGTCCACCACCTGCGGCTTCTTGGGTGCAGGTCGCTGCGCGCCCGGCCCAGGGGTGGGGCGCCGCCGGCACGAGTTGGCCGTGGGCTTGACCTCCTGCCCAGGGACGACGAGGCTGCTGCTGCCGTCATCGTCTGAGTTCTCAGCGTCATCGGCCGAGCACTCTTCCGGGGCGTCTTCGACTGTGGCCTGGTACGGCTTCACCGAGATGAAGTCCGGGGCCTCGCTGTACTCGGACCGCGGCGTCGACACGGTGCTCGACGGGCAGGTCGAGTCCGTGGGCGTCGGCGGCTGAGACGAGTTTGACGAGACGTCGTTTTTGATGCTCACTATCTGGCAGTGTCAACAAGGGACCCCTTCAAGAAACTAGATGCAAGGTACTCACGCCTCTTTGCCACAAAGTCGACTAGCTGATCGACCCATTCCGGGTCCTTCTTCCGGTCCGTGTCGTTGATGGTGCTCCTGCTTTCCTCAAAGACGGCCCTGACCACCTCCTCGACCTGCTTCTTCGTCGGCCCCGCCACAGCACCGCTGTTAGTCGTGTTCGAGGCCATCGCGAGGAGTTGTCGTAGTCTATCTTCCAGCCTCGCGGAAAAGAATTGGAGTTTTGAATGATCGCGGGGGTCCATGGGTACTGCCCGACCGACCACGGTAAATATATCCTCTGCGGAGACGCGCGGCGGCAGCGTCCGGCCTGCAGCAGCACTGTTGTTGTCGTGGCAGCTGTTTCTGCTGATGCTGCTCGAGCTTGCACTTGCACAGGCACAGCGTCGGCGGCGGCGAATCGCCGTGTCCGCTGCCGTCATTGCCATGCCACCCGGTTCGCCCATCGCTGCAAGACTCGGACAGGGGGCGCTTGGGCAGAGGCGCACAAACGGGGAGGGCGGGACAGCGGGAAGGGGGGCTGCGACACGGACGAGGGAGCACGGCAGCGGAGAATACTTTTTCGGCGGCCCGGCGGGACGGGATCGTGTGGCTCCCTACTTTTCCTGCGCGCAAGCGGGCACCCGGGTGACGGGAGGCACAACACTAGATCCAGTCGGACGGCGATGCCTTGCTTCTCGCCTTCTCCTGCCTCGCTGGCGTGGCCCGGTGGCGAGTGGCCTGCTGCTACTGATGCTGCTGCCTGCCAGTCTCTCCTTGTGGCCGTCTGTGAGCCCTGGGTGGCTCGTCTGCGCGAGCCGGTCGATCAATGCAGTCAAGGAATGGGTGCTTGCTGTGCTGCAGAAGCACGCGTCTGCATAACCACAAGAGGATCTGCCTGTGTGCCCTATCAGTCACGCAACGTACACCGGTAGGTGCGTCTTGCTATGCACACACGCAGGCACGGGGACGGCGCCTAGACAGGGGCGTATCGGGCGTGTATATGTACGGGTGTGATGTATACAGGCTGGGTTGCGTGTCCTCCGTATGGTTGAAACGGCATGTAAGGCGTTGCAAGGAACGCCGTCCACCCTTTTGCCACTCACTCCTTGGCAGACCCTAGTCCGGTTCGCAGGCGGCAAACGCACGAGGGACGAATCGAGATGAGGGCCGTGGAGAGAGTCCCGTTTGACGGTGAGGACGCGCATACGGCGCGTGTGTCGTGTGTGCGTCTGTATGTGAGCGTGTTTGTTTGTGTCTGTGTGTCTGTGCCTATGGTGTGTGTGTGTGTGTAGTCAAAAAGTGAGGCTGCGTCGAGCGACGGAGACGGGATGCACCGCTTTATGTGCGCTGCCATGGTGCCATTCCGAACTGGAACGTACATCAACTGGGGGCCGGGTCCGGGGACCCGAAAGCTGGGGGGAGTCATGGGCTCGGCCTCGGCCTCGAAGCGAAAAGTGCACATTCGGAGCCGCAATGACGGCTTGGGGCCAAAGCAGAGGGAAGCGGCAAGCAGCACGGCGTCGGAACTTCGTCAGAAAGGGGGTGGTGTGTGTGGGCGGGTGGTTTGTGAAGCCGCACGCAGATTGGGGGAAGGGGGGGGACACGCGCGGAAAAGACGGGCAGACACACATGAGCCTCCGCACGGCTCCAGGTGGGAATGTAGACATGTAGGCCGGCATGCAGGCCGCATCTGCGTGCGTGGTGTCGGGTGTGCCTGGGCAGCGCGTGTAAGTGGGCGGAAGTGGCCGTCGATGTGGCTGCTGCGGGCATCCAACGGCAGATCCAGACGCATCGCGATGGGGCCGCGAAACGGACACCAGCCAAGCCCGCCCTTCGTGCCCGACCAGAGGCAGAGGCCCCCGTCGACCGGCACGACCTACCTGTTTTCCCCTGCGGGCCTTGGGCAAGAAGGACAAAGAGAGTTGGAGCCGACTTGCATGCCGGCTAAGCGCAACGCGGCAACCCGGGGCCCGCGCGGTGGACCACGGCTCCGTGTAAGTCGCCGTCTCAGCGGGGCACGGGCCGGCAGCAGCTCAGACCTCCCGGGGGGCCAGCCAGCGTTGCAACGCCATAGGCATAGGCATGGGCATGGGCACTGTTTGCGTTTGCCTGGGTCGGCGGACGTCGACGACGACGACGCGCGCTGGTTTGTCGGCTGGTGTGACGTGTGCGACCAGAAAGCGGCTTTACAGCCCGACCATGACGGGGTGTCGTTGCTGGTGGCCCCCTCGGGCGTCCACAGCAGGACATCACGCGGCGACGAGACGAGACGAGGCGACTCGAGACGAGCAACGGGCGCGATGGACGACGAGGCCCAAAAACAACAACCGGTCAAGCCAAAATACTACGAGTCAACTCTCCCGTCGTCTCGAGGGGCAGGACATACCCGACGTCGCGGTGGCAAACGGGTCGAACAGGGACACGTACATGCACGACGAAACCGGACGAGCTGAACCGCGATCATCATCACCACCATCACCGGTGCGTTACGTTTCCGTTTCGTTTCGTGGAAGGGCGTTCGACCTGGGACTCGTCACTCCCCGTCGCTCGTCGATCGCTGGACGGACGGACCCGAGACCCGGCGGGGCGGAGGGACAGGACACGGGCATGCAGGAGACGTGCTGCAGCATATGCGGTGGACGGACGATGAGCGATGGCTGGCGATAATGATGGCAGGGCGCCCCATCCGAGCGAGACGACGAGGGGAGAGAGGGCGGCGGCGGCGGCGGCGGCGGATGCGGGCGCCACAGAAGAGGAGAGTGGAGGGGCGGCAGTTGCTGGAGGAAGGAACGATGGATGCAACCACATGGGCGACCGCATCCGCATTTCGCAGCGCAGCGCAGCGCATGGCCTCGCATAAGGTGCATCTGCGGCAGGAGGAGCATCTACCTACAATCTGCCTCCCATTGTCTCGCCCTGGCCAGATACGCGGCTTTGTAGCTGGCATCATCTCCAATAAACCTCGAGGCACGGGCACCCACCACGAGGCAAGGTAAGGCAACGCAAGGTACTGCGGTACGGGCGTGCTATCTCTCCGAGAGGCGATCCAGCCAGGTCCGTGGCCGTGTAATTCAGCCCTCTGCGGTGACCTGAACACCTCGACACACAAGTAAGAGTGCGACGCCGCCGCCGCCGACGACGACGACGTCGTCTCGACCCTCAACTCGCGCCGTCATCAGCCCACGCGCGCAGGCATGGCCTCATCTCCGTGCAACGTCATGGACCTCCGCCACGCCTCTTGGGCCGCCATCAACCCGACGACGACGACAGGCTTCGCCCCCTCACGCGGCTCAACGGATAGACAAAACCACCATCATCAGCCTCCTCCTCCTCCCCCCTCCTCTGTGACGACGACCCGACACCGCCCGTCCGTCTGTCATCACCCAGCACCTCCACGGGCCACGACGCACCGCAACATCAGCCGCACACCGACTCTCTTCTCGTCCCCATCATCCGCTTTGCCATGTGGCCTAATTATCTACCCGTGCCCCGTCGAAGCCCATTTCTGCACATTTCCATCTGCCCTTGACATCATTTCTGCACATTGTCCTCGAATCGCCGTCCTGCCCTCCCCCACGAACCGCCCAACTTTGCTGCGCCGGCCGGCCGACGGGAGAAAAATCATCGACGAGAAGAGGGGGGGCCTCTTTTTCTGCATGACACATGCGTTTGGGCGCCCCTTTGGGTGACCAGTATCATTCCGAGCCTCTCTCTGTGACTCCTTTCCCACGGCATGTGTGGACAATGCTACTGCTGCTGTTGTATTAGCGTGCGTACACGGTGCAGTCGGCACATACAGGTGCGTCTGGTATGTACAGTATCTGCCTGCACCCTCTCTATGCGTGTCCGATGCACGCAAAGACGTCGGCCTAGCCAAGCCACCGCACGGCACCCAACCAAAGCCGGGCGACGCAGCAGCCCCCCCTCGGCTCCTCCTCTCGCGAGAGCCTCATCGTCGCACGACGGGCCAACCCGTGTTCCCCAGGCCCGCCCATCCGCCCCTCCTCCTTCATGCGGGGCAAGGCAAACAAAAACGATGGACAAGGCAACCGACCGGGATCTTGATCTTGAGAACGCACGCGCATGCCCTCCTCCAATGCTTCGAGTCATGTGGCGTCGCCGTACGTATGTCGACAGACGCTGCGCCTCCCTGTCCTCATCGTTCCGTCCAACCTCGCACGCTCGCACCAGGCGCGGCGCTGTTATGCCTTTGCTTCTATATCACGCGAAGCCGGGCAGGCGGGTCGAAGTCTCCGACCCTATGCGCATGACTTTCGTCTGTGCCATGCCCGGTGTTGCTACTCATGCCTGGTGATAGCCTCTCATGCCGGATGTTACTACTCATGCTTGGCCGCACTCAAAACTCATCAACCCGCCAATCCAGTGGGCTGACGAGCGCATCCCCGGTGGCTCGTGGACCACTTGGCCTTTCTCGACGGCGTGCCGTCCCGCAGCTTGGCGAGAGAGCGAGGCTGCATATACAAGTAAGTACTATTATGTACGCACATACACTATGCGCACGGGGCAGGGCACAGGGTTGGTGCTGGAAGTGAGGCTGCCCAACCGTGCAGGGCAAACCCGGCCTGCATGACGACTGCTCGTTGGCCGCCTCGTCGTTGCCGGTTCCCGTGAGCAATCCCCGCCATGTCGTCTCGTCAGCCATGCCGTCGCTCCGTGGCACGAACCATTGACCATTGGGACCAACCGCCCGTGTTTGCTGCACTCTGTATACCGCGCGCGCATAGCGCGCCGCCAAATATCGAATATTGGAAAGATACCTTACAGACAGGTGGGTAACATGTATTGCGTGTCCCGGGTTGCAGCCAAGCTCCTCTTTCTCGTGGTATTGTTTGTGTCTGCCGAGGGCGCTTCCCGCTCGCCCGCGCCCCCCCTTTTCCCCCTCGCGATGCCCCGTGCTCACGCCTTATACAACAAGTCGAGGAACCCCGTGGCCAGGTCGACGACGACGCTCTTGTTCGGCAGCGAGCCCGCCACGCCGTACAGCGCCGCCGAGTCGCCCACGGCCTTGCCCCTGGTCCCCTTGCCCTCCACCATGCGCACCCGCTCCTTCTCGCGCTCCTCCTCCACCACGGCCTCGAGGTCCGCCACCAGCCGCTCCCACACCTTGACGATGGGCATCGTCACGGCCACGTGGATCGCCGGCGGGTCCTGCAGCGCGTTGAGGTGCCAGCCCTTGCCCGACATGCCGTCGGCGATGTCATAGATGTTGAGGTTGCGCGACGTAAACGCCACCACCGACACGAGCGGCTTGCCAACAATCTCGAGCTCGCCCGCCAGCCCTGGCCCGTCGCGGATCGCGTCGGCGATCTTCTTGGCCGTTCCGACAATCTTGACGCACGCGTCCAGGTACCCGGCCTCGCCCACCGTCATCAAGCTCGCCCAGCAGCCCGCGATCAGCGCGCCCGGGCGCGATCCGGCCATGCCGGGGGACGCGTACACGCCGCCCGACCAGTCCGGGCACACGTAGTACTGGTACGTCCGCAGCTCCGCCGTCCGGTACAGCACCGTCGAGTTGCCCTTGGGCGCGAACCCGTACTTGTGCGTGTCACAGCTGATGCTTGTCACGCCCTTGAGCCGAAAGTCGAACGCCTGCGTCTCAAAGCCCGCGCGCTCCAGCTGCGGCACCAGGAACGATCCCAGGCAGCAGTCGACGTGCAGGCATAGCTTCTTGCGCAGCGCCAGCTTGGACAGCGCCGCGATGTCGTCGATGATGCCGTGCGGGAAGTTGGGGGCCGAGCCCACCAGCAGCACCGTGTTGGCGTTGACGAGGCGCGACACCGCCCTGACGTCGACCTGGTAATTGGGCGCCGGGCACGCCACCATGTGCAGCTTGATCTTGAAGTAGTCGGCGGCCTTGCGGAAGGCCGTGTGGGCCGTGTCGGGAATGATCCTGCGTACGCGCGCGGTCAGCGGTCAGTCCGAGAATGCTCCCTCTCTCATCCCACCTCGCCAGCATCCATCGCGGGTCACACTCACATCTCGGGCTCCGTGATGCCGCGCTCGGCATACCCCTTCTGGCGCGCCGCCAAGCAAGCCATCAGGATGCTCTCGGTGCCACCGGCCGTCGTCACACCGGCGGCGCCTGGCGGGGCGTGGAACATGTTGAGCACCATGCTGACCACCTCTGCCTCCATCTTGCGCACGCCGGGGAAGACGTCGGGGTGGATGGGGTTGGCGACGGTGAACTTGCCAAAGGCCTCCGTCTGCAGCGCAATCAGGCCCTCTTCGCCGTGGTAGACGGCGCCGGAGACGTATCCGTCCTCCCAGCGCGTATGGTCCATGCTGGCCAGCGCCTCGAGCTCGGCACGCACGGCGTCGGGCTGCAGGCCTTCCTTGGGCAGGGTGAGGTAGCGCGTCTCGGACTGCGGCACGAGCTTGGCCGACATCTTGTCGAGCGACTCCTTGACCTGGCGCTGGACCTGGCCGCGGACGCCGGGGGCGCGGAGGAAGAAGCCGTAGAGGACGCGCTGGACCTCGCGGTACAGCTCAAGGATAGCACCGATGACGCCTCTGCCCTTGAGTTTCCAGAAGGCGCGGCGGGTCCATCGTAGGACAAAGTAGAAGAAGACGATGTTGCGGATGCTGCAGGGGGGATGCCGTGTCAGTCACGGCTGTCAAGCACGGCTCCGGACGACGGGGCGAGAGGCATCGACGATCACGGAGCACGCGCAGTAGAGACGAGGCGAGGACAAGCGCAAGCGCGCGGGTCACGACAGGCGCGGCGTCACTTACAGGTCGAGGTTGATCATGGACAGCGCCAGGGCCGGGCGTCGCCGCTTGACGGACTCGAAGCCGCCGCGCAGGCTCACGGGCATTCTCGAGCTGCCGGGCATTGCGTCCCTGTGCCGAAGCCGTAGCCGTAGCCGATGACGGGGCGGTAGCGGCGATGCAGGCAGATGTGCCAAGGAGTCGGTGGGAGGCAGGCGCAGGTCAGAGGTCGTGGCACCGAGAGGACACTGGGGAGGTTTTGCAGCCAGTGACCTTAATATACTTGGAGGGATAGACGGGGTCACGGTGACATGAGGTGGGCGACAAAGGAAATGGGGAGCAGGACACGGCCGGCCGGCGCTCCGGATGCTCCGTCCCGGCTACCTAAGTGGGAGAGCTCCAGCGGGCAGCAGCAGCGATCGCAGCAGCTTGCGGCAGAGAGCGCCGGGGAACCCAGCGGGCTTCAGGACGTGGGGGATGGGCTCTACTTGGACATTTTTTTAGTGGGGCCGCCCGCCGCGGAAGAGCACAATCGGCCCTGTCACATGCGCGGGATCCGTGGCGAGCGACCCCAAGCTTCGACGGTTCCCAGGCGGATGGGCGAGCCGGCGCTAGCAGCGCAACTCACCCGCGGGCGCCCGCCGTGGATGCGTCGATGGATGCCACCCGCCGGGCCTCCAGCCTGCCCAGGTGGTCGGGCCACCGCTAGCGGGTGCCAGTGGCGGACATCGACCACCTCTCCAGGGCAGGGCTGCCCGCACCAACACAGGGCTCCCCCACCACAATTGGAACCACTGTCGCCCGCTGCTGGCGACCTCCATCCACCCGAATGATCCCAGCAGCCCTGCAGAGCCCTGCGGAGGCGAGGGGTTCCATTGAATCCATGCAAGCCGGGCATCCATGCCATCAAAAATAATCGCACTCGCTTTCGCATCATGGGGCCGAGAGTTTGACATCGCGGTCCGAGAAGCGCTGGGAAAGGGTTCACCGGGCCCACTGCCAATCTATTCTTGACCCTGGCCGTTGTTGAATTTGCCTCATGTTATCGCTGCTGCCTTGCGAGGCGAGGTAACGATCCGCCGACACCAGCACTTGCTTGCTTCCGTCGCTGCGGTGCCACCCCCTCGGCGGCGGCCGGGACGCCTCTGACGACGACGACGACGACGACGACGTCTGGGGCAGCCGAACGGCCTGCGGGCCACGTTACCCCAACTTTTGTTGGCGACGCCCGCTGGCCACACTCCCTCCCCATGGGCCATGACCGGCAGCCGAGGCGTCTGGTGTAAGTGAGGGGAAAGCCAACCGCATCCTCGAGGATAACGGCGACGACCTTGCCTCATTCGATCGGCCAGACGTCATGCCCTATCGAGCAAGGGTCGCCTCGAGATTCGCAAAGACTTGCATCGGGTCGACCGAGGCAAAAAAGAGTCTCATCACTGCGAGGGTGGTTGGAGCCCGTACGCGAGGCGAACCGCGTTGGGCCTCGCCGCGGTTGCGCCGCCTCGTTGCAACATGCTGACCTACATGCGACGTGGGACGGCTACGGTACGTACGACCGCTCGACACATTCTGTGGACGTGCTGCGTCCGTCAGTGGCGAATCCGCAGACGGCATCATGGCTCGACAGCAGGATCTGGCCCGTGCAGCATCGGCCGATGCGCATCCGCTCGTGCGTGTTTCTCGATGCTCAGAGTGAGTACACGCAGGACTTGCATCTCTCTGTCGGGCCGCACAGGCATCGTATCGCGTGGTAATGCTGCCACGGAGCCGCCCCAGAGTCCAGGCCCTGCGACACGGTGGTCAACGCGGCGGCGGTGAATGTGTCGGTGCAAGTATCGACGTTGGAGACGAGGGCAGGCTCATCCCTATCAGGCACGGCACCAGCACAATCGAGGAGCCACTTCGTCCTATTCAATTTCCGAGCTTATGCTGAAGCAGAAGAGCGAGTAGGCAAACTGTGTACAAGTCCCTGCCTGAAATACCAATTGACATGACCTTGGATGTGGCCGTCTAGGACGTTCCTCATGCGCCTCACTTCTACATGCGCGGCATCCCGTCGTCCTGGCACGTCCCGGCTCATGCTCATGAATGATATTCTACCGAACCAAATAACGCCCACAGCGGACACGTGATTCCCGTGATGCGCCCCCGATGAAACGCCGCCGTCTCGCGCGTGCAGCCCTCCGCGTGTCGCCCTTTTGCCCGCCCACTCCCTCACGTCAATCCAAAAGCCGCCCTCCACTTGGACCAGTACTTGGACGACTCCGTCTCGCAGCTCCTCTCGCCCGACTCGGTGCACGCCGCAAACATGACCACGAAGTCGCCCTCTTGGTATGTGTCGCCGAGCTCGGGTCTCGAGTACGAGCTGAACGTCCGTTGCGGCACCAGTGCCAGTTTTGAGAGGATCGTAGGATGCCATTGCACAATGTGCTCCTATGCCATGTTAGCGTCCGGCAACTATCTCCGCGCGCACATCTGCCGTCGACTCACCAAGGCGTGCCTTTCCGCCTTTTGAAAGTTGTAGCTTCGGTATAGCGGGTCGAACCACGTCTCGACAAAGAACTTGGCCCACTCTCCGTTCCTCACAATCACGCTCTTGTGCACGAGGCCCTCCTTGTCCTGGCTCACGATAAAGTCGGTGTCCTGCCCGCGCAGGTGGGAAAACGTCTTGATGATGCTGTCCGGCGGCACGACGGGAAAGTCCTTGATCATGAGGCTCTCGAGCTTCTTGGGTTCGAGGACCACGTCTTCGAGGCTCTTTGTCGGGTCCATAATGTACGCGTCCTGGTCAAGGTACCAGATGAACTTGCAGTCGGGGTACGTCGACAGGGCGTGGCGCATGGCCAGGATCTTGGCCCATGACTGGGGTGCTCCGTGGGTGTCGTAGTCGTATGCCTTGACGACCATGACCTCGTATCCTGCCGTCCTGTCAGTAATCGGTCCCTCTCAAGGCTGGCGTGGTCGCGGATCCTCACCATGTCGCGCCGCGTACTTTTCGCGGTTCTCTTTTATCGTGCTCAGGTAGGCATTGTTCCAGTTTGTCGGGTCAATGACCGTCACCAGCACCACCGACGGGGTCCCTGAGGGAACCCTTTCGTGATACGGGCTGGGCTTGCTCCGCCCAAAGAGCAGGTATAATATGCAGAGAAAGGCAAAAAGCCCCAGCCCGACCGTCTTTAACCGGCTTCTGCGCAGCAACGGCAGCCGCGTCGATCTCGGGCGGAACGGAGGCGGGTTGGAGCTCTTGCGGGGAGGGTATGCAAAGTGCATCTTGGCGGCGCCTCTGCACGGCCGGCAGGGCTTCGGGCGCGGAGGATGAGGCGCGCTCTGTTCGTGCGGTGGTGCTCGAGTATCGTGCGAGGCCCGCTTCGACCGCTCGCGTCCGCGTCGATTCGCTCGTCGGCAGTCTCGCGCTCAAGGGCGGTAAGGCGCTCTCCTGCGCTCGCGACGGGGGGCAATCGTGTCCGCCGCGATAACGGGTCGGGAGGATACGAGTCGCAGCGACTCGTGCAGTTGTCGCAGCGCCTGGAGCGAGTCCGGAGGGGGAAACGAGTGGCTGACGCTCCGTCGACGGCCGTCCAAGGGGGAGAGAGATCTAGTGATGCCGCATGGAATTTCGCAGGGAGACGCCGTGATGAGGTGAGGTGAGGGTCCCCTACGCCATCTTCCCTGTGACAGGGGTCGCCCAGTCCAGCTGCGTCGAAAAACGAGGTGGCTCCTTCGGCGCCGGGCCCACATAAAACCGACGCTGAATATCTTCAGACGATCACGAGGCTTGGCGCGTATTGAGCCACTCCGGAACGGTATTGGTCGCTGACAGGAGACATGCCTGAGGCTTCGTTCAATTCAAAGTTGTAGCAAGGGCTATGGACGTGGTTACTTTGATTCCATCGATGCCGCCCTCCTCGCACGGACCCTTTAAGGCGGCCGGTAGTTATACAACGCTCGTGCACGACGCGGAAGACGCGCCAGATGCCCAGCAAGACGCTCCATTCGAATGTACCAATCGACATATAAAGCAGACTACTCACGCGGTGTACATGTGTACCCAGTAGACGCGTATTGACGGCATCAGAGCACCAAGACGGCACCCCGAGCCAGTTGGCATGTCGCTGAACATCTCCACCCTTCGCCGGCGAGCAACGGACCAAAACGGTCCGTCGTCAGGGTCCAGGCGGAGCATCAATCTTTGCACACAGACTAGTTGACTTGACAGGGAGGAGAAGAGTCGAGGCAACTTAAGAGTGTGCAGGGCAGTCGCCACAGTCACCGGAGACAGTGAGATTCCGCAAAGATATCAAATACTGGTCATTATTGATCCTTCCTGTGCTCGTCACGCGCTTCTCCCTCGGCGTCGTCGTCGCCATCGTCACCCGTGTCCTCGCCGACGTCGAGGACCTTGTCGCTCATGTTCTGCAGCACCCGCGAGCTCAACGCCCTGACCGCCTTCCAGATGGCCATGAGGAACGTGAAGGCGCCAATCAGGACGAACAAGAGGTTGAAGTTGTCCATCCGAGCGCGCCCGGTGCCGCGCCGGCGCCCGGACCCCAGCAAGCCGCTCGTCCGGAGGTTCAGCCACTGCCAGGGGCCCATGGCGATGAGGGACTTGATGAAGCCGACGAAGCCAAGAGAGAAGAAGCCTTTGGTGAAGTGCTCTGCCCACGTGGTCGGCGGCTCGTACGGCGGCGGCCTCCTGGCTTCGAGATCCGAGACCACACTTGTGACCGTATCGCTGATGGTGCCGACCGGGTCGAACCAGAGGTCGAGAATCGGATCCGCGATGAACCCGAGGATGAAGATGCCGACCACGAGCACGACGAACGTCAGCGCAACCTGCGCCAGCTTGCTGCTCAGCATCGATGCCCAGTGCAGGCGGGCCAGCCGGTAGTTGAATTTGCACGTGGGACATTGCCAGTAGTTTCGCGCCGCCATTGGGTTCGACAGCCGCCACGAGTTGAGGCATCCCTCGTGGACGTACTTTTGCGAGCCTTTGCATTTGCACGGGGACAGCAGCCGGCCCAGCTCGGGGTCGTCGGACACGTAGGTCGGTCGCGACGACGCGGAAGAGATGCCGAGCGTCGACGTTATGTCTGTCGGGTACCTGGGCTGCTCGGTGTCTAGGCAGATGCGACAGGTTCGCGGGCCGTAGCGACGGCTCTGGGCCTTCTCCCGAGGGGCCGCGCGTGGCTCCTCTGCGGGACGGGCATCTGGAGATGCATCGCGTGAGCCGTCAGCCCGTGACCGTCCCGAAGATTCGGTCCCGAGATTTGTGGCGGCGTACGGCGCGGACTCGCGTCCGGTCGTGGCACTCCAGTCCCAGGTTGGTCTCGTGTCCATCGCGGACAGAGTCGTGTGTATGGACACGTAGAGCGCGCTCGCTGTGCGAGCTTGCTATCGCGTGCCGAGGCGTGTTGCAAACAGATCGGGACAGGTGGGCAACACAAGTGCCGCAGCGCAAAGCACGGTCAGAGGAGCATCAGGGGGAAAGCCGCCCGTGACAATAGAGAATGCCTGCGGAAAACGTAGAGATTAGTGGTGCGTTGCCAAGGAGCTTCACCTGCGGGAGAGATGGAGAGGCCACCTCATCGTGCTGGGGTACGAATGCAGCAGACAGCAAACCGAATGTGCCGGAGGTTCGTGGAACAGGTTCCCGCCTTTGGGGCTGGGCGGAAATAACTGCGGTGGCTCGTAGGCCGGAAGTCGGCTAAACTGTGGCGCCGAAGACCTGCGGTGTCATGGCGGCTGGAGCTTGACGCGCAGCTCCGCCGTGCCTGGAAGCAGTGACCAGTCGCTGGCAGAACAACCAAGCTCATCGTCGCAGCCTCGCACACAACTCCGACCGCCAATTCCTCGCATCACGAGCCCAAGACGACTCCCTCGCGTGCTCGCCGACAGCAGCTACAGCAATGGCGGACAGATACTCCTTTTCCCTCACCACGTTCTCGCCCAGGTAGGCCCCCAGCGCGGCATCCGACATCCCCCTCAGTTGGAGCTTGCTAACCGTCGTTGCAGCGGAAAGCTGGTGCAGATTGGTACGAATCACCCCGGACGAGCTTCAGCTTGTGGATGAAGAAGGCTGTTGTGACACGGCTCCATGGTTGCTGACTCTACTGCGCGCAGAGTATGCACTCAACGCGGTGAACCAGGGCATCACGGCTCTGGGTATCAAGGGTCGGTACACGAGAATCTACCACATGCAGCATCAGCAGCTAATGCCTAGCAGCCACCAACGGAATCGTCCTCGCCACGGAGAAGAAGTCGTCGTCGCCGCTGGCCGACCAGAGCTCCGTCTCCAAGATCAGCAACATCACCCCCAACATCGGAACCGTCTACTCGGGCATGGGCCCCGACTCGAGAGTACTGGTCGACCGCGCGCGCAAGGTTTCGCACACGGGCTACAAGCGCATCTACAACGAGTACCCCCCGACGCGGATATTGGTCCAGGACGTCGCCCGGGTCATGCAGGAGGCCACCCAGTCCGCCGGTGTCCGGCCGTACGGCGTGAGCATGCTCATCGCCGGCTGGGACGAGGGCATCGAGCCCGAGGAGGAGGAGACCACCGCGGAGGGCGAGAAGAAGCCGAGCAAGAAGACGGGCGGCATCCACAAGGGCGGCCCCATGCTCTACCAGGTCGACCCGACGGGCAGCTACTTTCCCTGGAAGGCCACCGCCATCGGCAAGAGTGCCACCAAGGCCAAGACATTCCTCGAGAAGAGATACTCGGAGGAGCTGGAGCTCGAGGACGCCATCCACATTGCGCTGCTGACCCTCAAGGACAACATTGAGGGCGAGATGAACGGCGACTCGATTGAGATTGGTACGCCCCCCGTCTGACGCTTGTTGATCCAGCACTGACCATTTGCCAGGCATCGTCGGCCCGCCCGCGGAGCATCTCCTGGGCATGGAAGGTGTCGAGGGGTTGAGCGGACCGCGTTTCCGGAAGCTGACCCCCCAGGAGATTGAGGACTACCTGACGAGTCTATGATGGGCTTTGGAGGGGAACTGGAGCAGGTCTTTGTACAATAGAGGATCATGAGGCTCAATAGAGCGGCTGCTTTTACCTAGTTTCTGCGTCTCTGAACGGGTACGGAGGCGGCTGGCCTGTGAGGATGAAGGAGCACCGTGGACCAGCAGCAACGCCGGATATCTGGTGCCCATCGGACAGGTCGAGCCTCGTCCACGACTCAGCCCGTTCTACTGTCGTGCCCAGGCCAAGCTGGCCATTCGAATTGCTCCCGACAACGTAGACGGATCCGTCGATGGTGAGGGCGATGGCGTGCGAGTCGCCCAGAGCCACGTCGAAGACATCCTTGCCGCCGTCAACCTCGATGTAGTTGGGGATTCCGCCGAGTCCGCGGAGGGCCTGCTGGCGACGATGCGTTCCGCCCGTGGGCATCCCCCAGGCGTATATGTCGCCGCTCTCTGTCAGTGCTGCGAGAGTGTATCCTCCAGCCGAAATCTTCTTGATTGGTTCCCCGAGGCTGGCAAGGTCGGGTACGATGCCCGGCTCCGTGGAGGGTCTACATTGCGTGCTGGTCAGCCAGACGAGTTGCTCCCATGGCATCCGATCACGAGAGGGGAGGGGGGACTCTCACGAGTCGGCGGTGACCTCTCGAGCGAGGCAATCCTGGAAACGAGCATCGCCAAGCGTCGCTACGGCGCCATCGCTGTACAGAATAACGAATCCGGCGTCAAACGCAGCAACGGCCTCGACAGGACTTTTGCAGCGCCAGGTCGCCTGTCTGTTCTGGGCGTGCAGGTCACTCCTGGAGGCGTACTTGGCAAGGACTTTTGATTTCTGAACATCACCACCGATGCCATGAGGCACCGCAGGGGTGTTGTCGTCACAAACGACGAGGAGTTCCCCGTTGGCCGCCTCGGCACATGCGTAGGCGGCGTCAAGGGCGTCGTCATTCCCATCGTCCGGGAAGCCGACACCGGCCTTTACCCATGCGCCATCTCGCTGCACTGCAGGGCCACCATGAAGATAGAGTTAGCCACGCCGGAACTCCGCCCTCCCTCTGACGCTCGTCTACTGCCGCCAAGGGCATGGCTGCAGACAGGTTGCAGTTTCAAAAGGGCGGCTCTAGGGGGTCGTGGACGTGGACGACATCACGCACCTAGCGTGTAAGACAGGCGCGCGACGGGACGGCGGATGCGGCGGCCGTCGAGGACTTTTGCAAAGGAGAACAAGTCATCGGACTCGTGGCCGGAGTCCGCGTCGCGGCCGAGAGAGAGCTGATTCCACGGATTGAAGCCGGCTGCGAATAGCGCCATGCCGGGTCGAGTCACCTCCTCCTCCTCCGCAGCCTCCTCCGCATGCTCCCCACGCGGTACTTTTGCAAGGCTGCTGGTGCCGTCAGCCACCACCATATTGGCGGAAGAGGGACAGGCCGATTGGAGTCATCCGTTTGCCGCGGCTGGCGGTCCCGGGTGCGGCGCACCGGTTCGACGCAGGCTGAACGCTGTCGGTCCTGAGTTGTCGCGAGGGGATGGTGGATACATGGATAGGCTGTCGACAGAGCTGTTGCAGCGGACTGCGCACGGCGAGGCCGGGGTGGTTCCCGTGAGGTGCCCGGCCATCAGGGCACCCGCACGGTCTGTTCTTCAGGGTCAGTGGAGTGCGGCGCAGGGGCTGCCACAGGGCTGCTCCCGCTGTCACGGATGGTCCAGCATCCAGTCGCTGCCTCCAGGGCGGCCAGGATGAAGCGCGGCTCCCCAGGTGACGGCAGTTAGTTATTCAAGACACACGCACTCGACGCTTTAAATGCCCTGCGACACGACGGCGGAAACACCGCGGGGACGCCAGTGGTCAAATTTAGGTAAATGGAAATGCCGATGCCGGGTTGGCGATCTCGTCGTCGATACTGACCTGCCTTTCGCGGTAATGGGCTGGAAGGCTCTCCAGCTCCAGGGCTGTTATCCCACCACCACTCACTCGCCAACACCTCTGAACGAACACGGGCTGTAGCGGTCCAACGGGTGGCGGGCGCCCGCCGCAGAGCCGCCAGCTTGGGGGCGGGCCATGTGATGAATGCTTGACTTGTTGGACCGCATCCTGCCCTGCCAATGGAACCTGCAGAGCTGTCCCGAAGCCGCCACGCCAGATTGGTGGTTCACTTCCCACGCAGCCCAGGCAGCCACGCACGACCTGGACAACCCCATGTCTCGGGCACTCGCGCCAGACAGCCACGAGCTCACGGCCGGCACTGGACCGTTCAACTTGACACAACGACATTACCAATTGCCCGCGCAGCAAAGGGTCTCGATTATCGGTATGAGCCATCTTCGTCCATCGCGTCGCCTGCTGACACGCAGCCCTATCAAGGCCCGCCGCCGGGCACCAGAGCAAAACGGCCAGATCGTCAGCATCGCCCTGACAGCCTCCGAGGGCCCCAACCGGGCTCCACTTGGCTCGAGGATTCCAAGCTTTGTCTGACGCCTCTTTCACGACGAACGGTTCCAATCGTCGGCAGAAAGGCCAGCTGTCTGGACGAGCACACCATCTGGACCCGTGTGAACAAGGCCGGCCCCGCGTGGCAGCATCTCGCAACCAAGCATCGACTAGTCGCCCATCCTTGCCAGGCAAACGCAGGCTTACCAACCCGGGACGTGGTCCGCCGGCAGCCTGACAGCGGTACCCGTTGCCCTGTCGCTCCCTTTGTCCTTGAGGACTCTTGAACGGACCGGAGCGGCTCTCGCCCAAGTCCGGCCGAGCAAGCACTCTGCAAGGCGCAGTGTCGCGGACCTGTCCTTGCACTGCCAGGACGCCATTGCATCGCCCTGTGAACGCCACAGGACCCAAGAACTTGGCCCGGTCCTGCCATTGCTGAACGCGGCCCGTGTATCGGGGATTTCTCTGTCGGGCAAAACGTGCGCACATCATGGTGTTGACGGGACACCACTGGCCAAGGACTCGAGCAATTGCGAGTGGATCCAGCCGGCGCGCCCCTGTTGATGGTAACTTCGGCCAGGCCTAGTTTGTGACTTGCAAACGGAGTCACGTTGTCGAGATCAACGCCAAACGTCCAGCCTGTCATCCTGCTTGGCTCTTTGTCGCAACGGGGTGCTCCCCTGTCGCAACATCCAAGAGGCTTAGGCTGCCATTGAGTCACGCCCTGTTCGCCGACACACACCCATCTGCGCCCCCATCGTTGCTGTCCGTCCAGCTCCGTGTCAGGTGGCGTTTCGGCATCCACGAGATGCCTTCGGCTACCTCTTCCGTCGATTCTGGTGGGGACGAGCCCGACTCGTCCGATGACCCGTATTCGATCCGGCATGTGGCCACGCCTCCCGCCCCTGATATTAGGGAGATCGTCTCTGCAGCCGCCGCCGCCCAGGATGCCTCATCTTCAGATCAGGCATCGACGGCTCCTGGTCGTGACAATGAGGTCTCTCAAACCGCCACTGGGGGCATCATGAGTTCCAGAGCCTACCAGCTGGAGATGCTCGACCAGAGCCTTAGGAAAAATGTTATCGTTGCGGTATGCCAGGCTACCACTTTGCGGCGCATTGCAATCCTCGTCCTGACAACTGCAACAGATGGACACGGGGAGCGGCAAGACACAAGTGTACGTTCTCTCATCTGCCGCGTCCACGTGAAGTGTGTAGTGACCATTGGTTAGAGCTGTGCTTCGCATCAAGGCCGAGCTGGAACGATCCAGTTCCGAAAAGGTAACAACGGTCGTCAACTTGTCGTCGCTGGCCGAAGCCCTGACGCAACTTGTAGATAATATGGTTCCTCGCTCCGACCGTGTCGCTATGTGCTCAGCAGTTTGAGGTCATTCGGCTGCAGGTTCCCTCTGTCCGTTTGAAATTGCTGACGGGCAACGACAACATCGATTCCTGGAACGCCGGCACTTGGGACGCCTTCCTACAGGGCGTTCGCATCGTTGTGACGACATATCAAGTCCTTCTTGATGGGTTGTGCCATGCGTTTGTGAGGCTGGACCAGCTGTCGCTCATAGTGTTCGACGAAGGTACGTCATGGTTCGCTGCTGAAGCTCTGCTCTGACAATCGCAGCCCATCACTGCGTCGACAAGCACCCGGGCAGCAAGATTATGACGGATTTCTATCATCGACGAGGCGCAAGAGAGAGTCTGCCTGCCATTCTCGGCTTGACGGCGACCCCGAGCATCAGATCCAAAGTCAAGAACATCGAGACCCTCGAAGCGACGCTAAACGCCAAATGCATATCGCCAACTCTGCACCGCGAGGAGCTCCTGAAGTGCGTCAAGAAGCCTCAGATAGTCCACATCCCACATGATACGCAGCTCTTCACGTCGAGGACTGCGTCGATGAGGTCTCTCGAGCGAGAGCGACACGAGCTCGACATTACGCGCGATCCCTACATCCTGAGCCTACGAGCAGAGCCCAGTGATCGAAATCGCCGAGCTCTGGAGCGGGCCATCGAAAAGTACGACACGTACTCGCAGAACCAGGTCAATGGACTCTGGAGTCGCTGCGTCCAGGTCGCAGAGCAACTGGGGCCGTGGGCTGCCGACCTCTACTTGTGGAAGGCGACGAGCACCTATCTCGATCGGCTGGGCAAACGAGACGACTTTTTTGACCAGTGGTCTAGCGAGGAAAAGCGCTACGTAGGCGACTTTCTTCGCCGCGTGGCGCCGCGACAGCCGTCTCCCATGCCGCAGCGGGGCGACGACGTCTCGAGCAAGGTGACGGTGATGTTGCAGGAGCTGCTCTCGATGGAGGATCCCGTCACGGGAATCATCTTTGCCAAGGATCGTGTCATTGTCACGATGCTGTGGGAGCTTCTCGTGTCCTGTCCCAGGATCGTGGACAAGTACAATGTTGGCTTTGTGGTTGGCGCATCCAACTTCCAAGGGCGCAGGCGGAATGTGTACGAGTTTCTGGATCAGGCTGACCAGTTGGCGCTGCAAAAGTTTCGCTCGGGCAAGATTAACCTCTTGGTGGCAACGGCAGTTTTGGAAGAGGGCATCGACGTCCCGGCATGCAACCTTGTCGTCTGCTTCGACCACCCCGAGACCCCCAAGTCCTTTATACAGCGCCGCGGGCGAGCCCGTATGAGGAACTCGCGACTGGTTCTGCTCTCTGAGCGATCATCAAACGTCATCAGACAATGGGAGGCTCTGGAGGAGGAGCTGAACCAAGTCTACGAGGATGAGGAGAGAGAGATTCGCCAGCTGGAGGTGCTAGAAGACTCTGAGGAGACGGGCTCGACTTGCTTTGAGGTGGCAGCCACTGGCGCGCGATTGGACTTTGACAATGCAAAGCAGCATCTCGAGCACTTTTGCAGGATCTTGTCCCAGGGCGAGTTTGTCGACAGTCGACCAGACTACATCCTCCAGCGCCATGACGAGACATCGCCGGCAAGACTTAGCGCGACGGTCTTGCTACCGCCAACCATTCCCGAGGCGCTCCGACGAATCGACGGCGAATCCACCTGGTTGTCTGAGAAGAACGCTACAAAGGAGGTTGCGTTTCGCGCGTACGTGGCTCTTTATCGTGCCCGCCTGGTCAATGACAACCTGCTGCCGTTCAGGTTCGACAACATACCCGGCGTGGAGACTAGAGCGGCCGAAGTGGACGTTGAGCCGCCGTTTAGTCCGTGGCAGGCGGTTGTCGGGGAGTGGCAGCGCCGTGGCCCGAAGTGGCTGTATGGCCTCACTTTTGATGGCGAAAGATACGGGAGGTCAGAATATGACATACTCATACCCGCCGACCTGGACCAGCTGCAGCCGATTGAACTGTTCCTCACGCACGACAAGCGCTGCTGGGTTGAGTTTAGCTCAAAGAGGCCGCTGTCAGAAGAGGAAGCATCAAGATTGCCAGACCACACGTCGACGCTGCTTGCGCTCACATTTTCCCACCGATGGGCTGTCGACGACCGGCCGCACGTTGTCAGAGTCTCTTCCAAGAGTTCAATCTCGAGACGTCAGATTGGCGCTGCGCGATTCGATGCGCGGGACGAGCGCCTGAGAACGGGGCAATATCTCGTCAGGGACTCCTCGGGCACGCCATTCATCTTCGAAGGCACTATCCCGTCACGGCCGCCCGCGGAACAGGTCCAGCATCCCTTCTTCGACTACGAGCTTGCACCAAAGGATGAGCAGTATTTGGTGCTCAACCGGTGGACGAAGCGATCCGACTTTCTGCATCGCCTGCACTCGGACGCCAACGCCACGGCGACTACCATGAGGTACCCTTGGGTGCTGCCGCAATCGTCTGCGACCGCTGATAAGATCCCGGCAAGACATGCGCAGTTTGCCATGATGATACCTTCCATCATACACGAGCTGGAAGTCATGCTCACGGCCAAAACACTGGCGGGAACCATACTTAACAGAGTGGGAATCTCGGATCTTAGACTCGTCAGGGAGGCAATCAGCGCGCGTAGTGCATCTGAGCCTGTCAACTATGAACGGCTAGAGTTTCTGGGCGATTCGATTCTCAAGTACTGCAGCTCGGTTCAGGCAGCTTCGGATCGTAAGTGCCGCGGAATCACGCCAGGAACAACAGAGTACTGACATCTACCAGATCCGACTTGGCCGGAGGGCTACCTGTCGTTCTTTAGAGACAGGCTGATTGCCAACTCGCGGCTCTGCCGAGCGGCACTCGAGAGCGGGCTCGCCAAGTTTATCCTCACACGTCCGTTCACCGGCCAAAAATGGCGCCCACTGTACCTCGACAATTTCCTGCACCAGGGCGGGAAACCTGCAAAGGGTCGCCGGCTGTCGACAAAGACCTTGGCTGACGTGGTTGAAGCGCTGATCGGCGCCTCATTTATAGACGGAGGAATTCCCAAGGCTATCACATGCATGTCGACGTTCCTGGGCGAGTGCAATTGGCGAGATGTCGAGCGCAGTCGCGAGCGACTCTTCCGGCTTCAGCCCGATGTGGCGCTTCCGCCTGTCCTGGAACCCTTGGAGACACTTCTTGGATACTCCTTCAGGAAGAAGTCGCTGCTTGTCGAAGCAGTCACTCACGGTTCGTATGTCGTTGATTCTGGCCAGCGTTCGTACGAGCGACTCGAGTTTCTCGGCGACGCAGTCCTGGACAACATCATTGTCACGAAGCTGTTTGCTGTCAAGCCTCCTCTCCCGCACTACCAGATGCACTTGCTCAAGACAGCCATGGTCAATGGGGACTTTCTTTCGTTCGTCGTCATGGAGCACGGACTACGGGAGCATGAGAATCTCATCACCCGCGACTTGCAAGTCGTAGACAAGGACGTCGCACTTCCGCTGTGGAAGTTTATGCGTCACAACTCGGTGGCCATTGGGCTGGAGCAGGACGCGACCGTTCAGCGGTTCGAGGCACTGCGCGGGGATATTTGTGCTGCGGTGTGGCACGGGACACACTACCCGTGGGCGCTTCTTGCACGAATGCAGGCCAAAAAGTTCTACTCGGATCTGTTTGAAGCAATCATTGGCGCGGTGTGGGTAGATTCGGGGTCGAAAGAGAGCTGTGAGCAGGTTCTGGCTCGGTTCGGGATGATGGCCTACCTGGATCGTATAGTGCGCGACAAGGTGCACGTCCAGCATCCTAAGGAAGAGCTGGGGCAGTGGGCCATGACGCAGACGGTCACGTACGAGGTGGACATGGCCGAGAGCGCAGGCGGGGAGAAGACGTACCTGTGCAAGGTGCACGTGGGGAACAGAGTCGTGGCCGAGGTGACGGACGGGGTGAGCAAAGAGGAGGCCAAGACCAAGGCGGCGCAAGAAGCCGTGAGGAGGTTGATGTCGGAGAAGGAGTCGTCTTCAAGCGAGGGGTCTTCGGAATGAGGGGGAGCGAGTATGTCATGAGTTATGATGTGTGGCTTTTAGCATGCGATTGAATGTCATAGACACCAAGGGGACGTCTTGGATCCGCCATGGCCAGGGATCCCGTACTTTATATCAAAGATGTTTGAATACATCCAGCAGGGGCGGTTTTCCATCATCTCATTTCAAGTCTATTGCAGCTTGCGCATTTCTTCTAAGATCAAATCCACCATCCACTCCAGAAGCTGCTCCATGTCGGCATCCACGGGCGCCCCCTCGAGAACCCTGATGCCTTCGGCGCGCAGCACCTCGTCCCTGAAGCGGCCCTCGACGTCGCCACTCTCAAACATCCACGCGTGCTCCTCGACGTAGTTGGGCCAGACAATGGCGTCGACGTATCCGGGCGGGTCGGCCCAGAAGCCCTCGAGGGTGACGTAGCCGTCGCGGGCCTCGCGGCGGGCCTTGGCGCGGGCGTACGACGCGCGCAGGAAGAGCTTGACGTCGAAGCTGGAGCGCAGGGCGGCCATGGAGGGTCCGTAGAGGAGGAAGCCGTCGAGCAGGCAGAGGCGCAGGCTGGGGACGGGGTCGGCGCCGGAGCCGGAGTTGGAGCCGGAGCTGGGGCCGCGGGGGAGCAGCGGGTGGGAGGGCGGCAGCGCGGACGAGACTTTGGCTTTGAGGGCGGCGATGGTTGAGTCGGGCACGGGGCATTTTCCGACGGAGTTTTGGTCTTCCTTGGAGTCTAGCGTGGGCTGGGGACGCACACGTACACACGAGCCGGTCAGTCTTTCATTTTAGTCCATCACTTTCACTCGCTCCCGTCATCGGGGGCAGCTGTCCAGGGAGGGCATACGGGAAACTCGGCGTGCTGGCGGATGTAAGCGAGGGCGTCGGCCATGGCGACGACGTCGATGGCCTCGGCGCAGTCCCAGTCGAGGAGGCCATTCTTTGACGGCAGTCTGCGAATATCATAAGCAGACATTACAGGGTAGCCCATCACCGTACAGGCGCTCACTCACTCCGTCTCGGGCCTGTAAAAGTCGTCCTGGTGCAGGATAAAGGTGCTGGGGAAGATGTCACGCAGGAGGCGGGCGAGGGTCGTCTTGCCGCTGGACGAGCAGCCGGAGATGCCCAGGATGAGGGCCCTCTTGTCGTCTTGGGCCATGGGGCACGGGGTGCGGGCGGATGAGTCGGGGCGGGTTGAGTGAGTGACTGAGTGAGTTGAAGGGAGTTGAGTGAGTGTGAGGTGCTTGGTGGATTTACCGAGTCAGACACACTGGCGGCCCGCGATGGCGTCGTCGGTTGCCTGCTGCGGGTAACAGTGGGCCCCCGGCGCGAGCCGTCTCCCAACGCTGCGGCACCTTGAGTGCTTGCATCACGGCGCACGTCACTACAGCCTCACAGGCGAGCGCCAAGTTCTGGTCATGGCCGTGCGGGCGCCTGATAATTCAATAACCTACGACATGCTCTCCTCGACTCTGGGGGTTTGTCGAACTCCGATCAGCCGGGCCGTTACGGACTCACAGTTCCGGCGCCGCTCTAGTCAAAGGTTTGTCCGCGGTTAATAGTAAGAGGGTATGCATGGCTCAGAATGCATGTCTTCATGCAGCATGGCTGGACTTGGCCGTGAGTTCAGCTCATGCTGTTGGACGGTCATGACGACTTGCAGCTGAGGAGACGACTTCCTATCAGTTCACCCACATGCAGTCTGTCGCAGGGATCTCTCCCTGTCGGATCATCATCACTTACATGCCACCGTCTCGATCGGGTCGAAGCGGGGTCATCTACGTTACTATCCAGCTCTACTCACTTATAGTCATGTTCAGCCGAGTTAGCTGCCCGTCTCTACTTTATATCCTCCATGCCCACCTCCTGAAGCGGACAGTCATTTAGCTACGAGCCGTCTCCTTGACGTCTCTTTCCGCTTTCGCCTGACTGTTCTCGCCCAAAACCGATCGTATTCCAGAGCGACTCTTCAAGTGTTACATCGCAGTGCTCATAAGACCCTCCGGCGCAATGAGTACTTCTACCGCCGTCACCTCAGATGACGGGGTGCAATGCTGGGTCGCCGCCGGCGACGTCGAGACCCGTCGGCAGAGCTTCACCCCCCGCCGCGCCACTCCGCGATACTTTCACCTGCCGTTCGCCGACGAGGTGCCCAAGAAGAGCGTGCCGGACCTGGTCGCGGACATCCACGAGGGGTTGGAAGAGGTATTCGACCGGCCGGACAGCCGCGCCCCGTTCATACCGGGCTACGCCAACAGGGACGACGCCATCGTGCGCGCAGCCCTGCTGCGCAGCCTCGGACGCGAAGGCACCGACGTGATACTTGTGCGCCTGACGCGCTGCGAGCCCAGGATCAGGTACAGGCGCCTGAGCAAGTACGCGGCAGACGTCAAGTACGAGGGCGGGGAGGAGGACGTGGACGCGGAGGCGGTGCTGATCCTCTGCGAGCCGTTTACGACAGCCAATGTCGTGCAGCGCCTTCAAGTTCTGGAATGATGCTTTGAACGTTGAATACGAATGAGTGAGCGTTTTGGAGCGGCCTTGGGAGCAGGCTCTGGCATGGAGTCGAAGCGGAGTGGTTTCGTATGAGTCTCGTCAAGCTGAGGGCGATGCGCACATGGTCAACGGGAGACACGGGCCGCGGTGGGTTTCCAGGCGCAGTTTCTTGAGGCCCTCGTAGCCGCCCAGTTGAGTTTTTGCAAACTGCAATTCGACCACCTCCTACTTCTGATGCAATTGTCTCTTGTGAACTTGTGGCTTGAAAGCGTTACGGATGCCCACCATATCAACGATGCTCTGTGCAGGGCCCAGGCGACACCGCGGTTACGACTTACATCGGCCTGTCCCCTCAGTCGGTATGGTTCACTGTGCTTGCTTGCTTTCTTGCTATTCAAGTCCGATGCTCCAAGATTGCACCTCATCCAATAGCTTCTTGGGTCCTTGGGCTATTCACGCCGGAGACGGTAGTTGCGGTGCCTGCAATGGAGCTTACAACCTGCAGTGCTGCGCTTGAATTGCGTTTTGAGACATTCGTCCCTATGGCCGCCGCTAGGGGCGGCCATAGGGACGAATGTCTCAAAACGTTAGGGCCCTGCGGTTGGCTCGCCGCTGAGCCCGACCCAATTCTCCACTCCGTCCCGCGCCTCCGGCCGCCGCCTCTCCGTCCGCCATTCCACAAGCCTTCCGCAAGGCTTCGATCCAGCCTTACCAAAGTTGCCTACGCACCACGCACCACCACCTCCAGCGCATCATCGCAAACCCTCCTCCCCCTCCCGTCCGACTCTCGCTCCCCTCGTCCGTCTCCGCGACAACACCTCCGCCCGCCCGCCATGCCCTCCGACCAGGGCGCCCAGACGGGCATCATCCTCACCACGGCGCTCGCCACCTTCGTCACGGGCTGGCTCTTCGGCGTCTTCACCACGCGCGGCTACCTCATCTCGCCCGGGCTCGCCGAGGAGCGCCGCCGCTTCCACCGCGACCCCGTCGAGAGCGACGAGAGCGACGTCGACGAGGACGACACGTTGCTCGACCACGCGCCAAACTGGGCCAACGGTGTCCAGGCCGACCGCAGGCAGGGGCTGCGCGTCGGTGCCGGTGCTGCTGCGGCCGCGCCAGGCATCGTGGATAACGGCGAGGAGTGCAAGCTGGTGCTCGTCGTGCGGACGGACCTGGGCATGACAAAGGGTGCGTAACAGGCCTTCCCTCTCCCCCCACCTCCATCCATGGCCATGAGAACGGCGGCACGACCATCCAGTACTCTCCTCAGACGGCTGACCCTCCGCTTCACAGGCAAAATCGCCGCGCAGTGCTCCCACGCCACCCTCGCCTGCTTCAAGGCCCTCTCGCGCGCCGCCCCCGACTCCCCGCAGCGCAAGGTGCTCTCCCGCTGGGAGAAGCTCGGCCAGGCCAAGATCGCCGTGCAGGTCAAGGGCCAGGACGAGATGCTCGAGCTGCGGCGGCGGGCCCGCGCCCTCGGCCTCACCGCAGAGGTGATCCAGGACGCCGGCCGCACGCAGATCGAGGCCGGCAGCATGACTGTCCTGGGCGTCGGCCCCGCGCCCAAGAGCCTCGTCGACCAGGTGACGGGCCACCTGAAGCTGCTTTAAATCTAACAGGCGGCACAGATTCTGTGTGTGTCGCTGGACGTGGGATTGTACCTTAGGCGTTTGGGACGGTGCGCGATGGACATGGGGCATCATGAGCGTGAGGTTGCGTGGGCGCGCTGGCTACGATAGATATTCACATATAATGCACGGCGTGTAGAAAGAGCACCGGCAAAAGCACGACAGCAAATAGACCGTTTCGATTGGACGTAATGAGGATCGGGCCTCTTCTTTGGGGTATTATCGTCTTTGCTTTGTTCTCTAAGCGTCCGCCGCTTAATGCTCTCTCCGGGCAAAGCGCGACAGCGCCGGCCCCAGATCCGCCTCGCCCTCCTTGCGCTTCTTGTCGTTCTTCTGCTGCTGCTCCTTCCACAGCTCGTCCACCCGCAGCCGCTTCTCGTCGATAATGTTCTTCTTGCGCTGCTTGCGCAGGTACTTCTTCAGCGCGCCGTTCTTGCCCCTGGCGCGGTTGCGAATCTCCTCGGCAATGTCCGCGGCGGGCGTGTCGAGGTCCTTCTCCGCCTTCTTCTGCGCGTTGGACCGCAGGTCCAGGTTGCCGATGAAGTTGGGGTCCAGCGCAATCATGTCGGGCTGGAGCTTGTTGAGGAGGCCCTTGACCTCCGACTCCTGCCGCTGCTTGGCCGTCTCGAACGGGTTGACCTCGAGTGCGTCAAAGTTGGCCTCGCCCGCGCCCGGTACGATCAGAGACGAAAAGCCCTGGTCGTGGCTCACGCCGAGAATGTCTTCGTAGGGGCACCACCGCACGCGCTCGATGCGCTTGCCCTCGCCACCCCACGCCATGTACGGGCTCTGCACCTGCTCCTGTGCCGGCGCGTTCTTGTTGAACAGGCCCCTCCAGATCGTCGTCTGCGTGCCCCATCCGACGGCGGTCAAGCCGGTGTCTGAGATGGCCACCGTCGAGGCGGGCTGGCGCGTGTAGTAGTTGCTGACCTCCCTGAACATGCGGATGTCCCAGACGGCCATCTTGAGGTCCTGGCCAGTCGACACCATGTATCTCCCCTCTCGGTCGACGGACAGGGACCTCACCGGCCCGCGGTGTGCCAGGAGCTTGACCAGGGGTTCTTGTGAGTTGGGCGACCAGAGCGTCACGGCGCCGCTCTGGTGTCCGACGTGGAGGACGGCGTTGTAGGGGTTCTGGGTCATGGAGACGGGCTGGCCGAGCTTGGTGGGCATCTCGGCGATGAGCTGACCGGTCGAGGTGTCTTGGTATTTGAGAACACCAACGGTGCCCTGCGCTTGTCAGTGTCTGAGTCTGCGTCTCGAACAGCGACGTAAACCGAGGGCGACTTACAATGGTGGCCAGCAGAAAGTGGTAGGGGAGAAATTCCATGTGCGTGACCTCGGTATGTTTCCGCAGGCAGTGCAGCTCGACGCCGTCGCGGTCGTATATGTAGACGTACTTTTTTTGCGCGACGGCAAAGTACTGGTTGTTGTGCAGCCACTTGACGTCCCGGATGGTCTCGCCCAGCTGCAGCTCGCAGCCCAGCTTGCCCTCGCGCCAGTCCATGGTCGCGACGTGGCCCTTTCGGCCCGCCAGCAGCAGCTCCCGCCCGTTCCTCGAGTACTCGCATGTGTAAGGTCCTAGCTGGTCCAGCTTGAGATCGAAGCGCTTCTGCGCCGTCTCGACCGCGACGCCAGAGGTGATGTCGTCTTGCCGGACCTTGTAGGTACGCTCGAGCTCGGCCTCGGGCTCAAGGAAGCCGCTGGTGTTCTCGAGCAGAATCTCGGCATCCTTGGCCTTGACGGTGGCGTGCTGGTACTTGTTCTCGAGGTGCTTCAGGTTCCTCCGCAGCTTCTTGTCCTTGATGTGCTTGGTGTCGATCTTCTTGCCGCGGCCGTAGGCCTTGTGCGCCTCCTGCAGGCGCCGCCGCCGCGCCTTTTCCTCGGGCGAGACGAATTCCATGCGCGTCTTCTTGACGGCCAGGGCGCCGTTGTCGCGCACCTGGGTCACGGGCTCGTCAATCGTGTCGACCTCCATGGCGGCCTGTGGTGCGGTGTCGTCTGCGTGCCGGTGGGAAGCGGATGGACGGACGGGCAGATGCTCAATCAATGGCTGGACGGCAGATGCAACAAAATTTCCACCGCCCAGCGACTTTTTGGTGGTATCGCGGCGCGGCCATTGGCAGCAGCCCATCCAGGGACCCGCCGGCGCTATCGATAGCGCAGGTGCCGCACAAAAAATTCTCGATAACCGGGCGGGCGTCCCTCCAACCCCACCATCCAGGCGCCGTACTTTGCTCTGCGCACCCGCACGCACTTACATTTATCTGTTGGCAGCGGTCAGCACGCCAGACAGTCGACTGCGCCCGTTTTCGACTCGAATACTCTCCGTCACAACCGGCCGGCGCTCCTCGACTTCACCCTGGCGTCGCTCCCGTTCCGCTTCAAGGCAGGCGGCGACAGCAAGATGCCTGTCGCGGTCGCCCATTCGCACCGCCCCACCACAAAGGTGTCGCACAAGCCCTTCAAGTCCAAAGCCGCCTCCAAGCACGAGCTGAGAGACCGCGCCAAGGGTATGTGACATTCCCGAGAGCAAGGCCTGTCTGTCCCGTCTAACCCCGTGCCTGCAGGCAAGGTCCCCAACGAGCGCGGCCAGCGAAAGACGCCGCACCAGCAAGTCATGTCCAAGTTCGACCGCCGCAACCAGGCCAAGCAGGCCCGCCTCACCAAGCACAAGGAGCACCTCAAGGAGAACTCCATCTTTTCCGGCCGCGACGGCGCCCCTCGGGTCGTGGCCGTCCTCCCGCTGTGTGCCGACGGCGACGCCAAGGCCGCTGTCCGCGAGCTCAATTGCAGCCTCGACATTGAGGCCGACGTCCGCGACGGCAACTTCCGAGTCACGGTCGACCGCTTCAAGCAGAAGCTCCAGTATGTCCCGCTCAAGAGGGACCTGAGCGCTTGCCTCGACGCCGCTCGCGTCGCCGACTTTGTCGTCGTCGTCTTGTCTGCCGACGAGGAGGTCGACGCGCTCGGCGAGCTCATCCTGCGCAGCGTCGAGAGCCAGGGCCTGTCGACCTTGTTCACCGTTGTTCAGCACCTCGACAAGGTGGAGCCTGCCAAGCAGAAGCAATCGGTCGTGGCCTCGCTCAAGTCCTTCATCACGCACTTTCACCCGGAGCAGGAAAAGGTGTACAGTCTCGACAACCGGCAAGAGTGCGCCAACCTCGTGCGCTCTCTCTGCAGCACGACACCCAAGGGCATCCGGTGGAGGGACGACAGGAGCTGGATGCTGGCCGAGGACATTAAGTTTGCCTACCACGACTCGGACCCCACCATCATCACCGGCGTGGTGCGCGGACGGGGGTTGAAGGCGGACCGGCTGGTCCAGATCGGCGACTGGGGCACCTATCAGATTCAAAAGATTGTTGCCGCGCCGCTGCCGAGGCAGACCAAGAAGGGCGAAGAGCCGACGGCTGAGACTGGCGCGGAGGAGCTGCTCGAGGAGCCGACGGCAGACCAGGACGACCTGAACGAGCTCGCGCCCGACGATGTCGTCATGGACGCCGACGACGATGAGGATGGCGCCATGTCCACCATCACTGGAGGCAAGAAGGGTGTCTTGCTCGACGATCACCATTACTTTACGGACGAGGAGGAGGAGGCGCGCAAGGTCAAGAAGCGCGTACCCAAGGGCACGTCGAACTACCAGGCTGCGTGGTATCTCGACGACGTTTCCGACTCGGGCTCCGACATGGAAGATGTCGAGATGGACGACGGCAAGGACGAGGATGAAGAGTTTGGTGCAGAGGACGGCATCGAAGGGTACGCCCAGCCCGAGCCCACCGAGGCCGGCCCGTCAGAGTACCCGCAGTCGGAGATGATGGAGGAGCTCGACGAGGACGAGGACGCCGAGCAGCTCAAGCAGTATCGCGCGCGGAAGCGCGACGAGGTCGAGGACGACAAGGAGTTCCCCGACGAGATTGAGCTGCATCCCGGCGTCCTGGCGCGCGAGCGGCTGGGGCGGTACCGCGGCCTGAAGAGCCTCCGGACGAGCCCGTGGCAGGAGGACGAGGACCGGGCGCACGAGCCCGAGGACTGGAGGCGGCTGCTGCAGATCCCCGACTACAACGCGTCGCGGTCAAAGTCGATCCGCGAGGCGCTGGTGGGCGGCGTCGAGCCCGGCACACGGGTGCACGTCTACCTCAAGGGCGTCCCGGCGGCCATGGAAAAGACGTATGACCCAAGCTCCCCCGTCACGCTCTTCTCCCTCCTGCGACACGAGAACAAGAAGGCGGCGGTCAACTACCTGTTCAACCTGAGCTCCGACTACACCAAGTCGGTCAAGTCCAAGGAGGAGCTCGTCGTGCAGTGCGGCCCCCGCAGGATGGTCATCAAGCCCGTCCTCTCGCAGTCGGGCTCGACACCCAACGACGTGCACAAGTTCTGCCGGTACGTGCACCCGGGGCAGTCGGTGATTGCGACGTTCATGGGCCCCGTGACGTGGGGTGCCGTGCCGGCCATGTTCTTCAAGAGGACCGTGCCGGGCGCCGTGTCCGAGGACGACGAGGAGCCGGACGTGGGCCTCAAGCTCATCGGCACGGGCACGGCGCTGCCGCCCTCGACGTCGAGGGTGGTCGCCAAGCGGGTCATCCTGACAGGCCACCCGTACCACATCCACAAGAAGATCGTGACGGTGCGGTACATGTTCTTCAACCGCGAGGACGTCGAGTGGTTCAAGGCGATGCCGCTGTGGACCCGGCGCGGCCGCAGCGGGTACATCAAGGAGCCGCTGGGCACGCACGGCTACTTCAAGGCGACGTTTGACGGGCGCATCAACCCCCAGGACGCCGTCGGCGTGAGCCTCTACAAGCGTGTCTGGCCGCGCGAGTCGGTGCCCGTCACGGGGCGGCTGCTCGAGGCCGACGCGGGGGCCCAAGGAGACGGCGAGGACGTCATGATGGAATGAATGAACTTGATGGCATATAGACAGACGCATGACGCATATACCAAAATATGACGGTTTCGACACGGACGAGCATTTGTTGGGCATGATTCGTAATTCTGCTTTTCCCTATCCAGGTTGTCCGATGTACGTTCCTCAAGGCTGCTTCTTCAGCGCATCCAGCCCCTCGGTCGGCCGCGGCCCGCCCTTGCTTTTCCGCTCCTCCTCGGCGCCGCTGGCCTTCCACGCGCTGAGGATCAAGTTAACGATGTGGTCGACGCCGACGTCCTTCTTGACCTGCGCAAAGACGGTCGGCCCGCCCTCGCGCATCTTGCGCGCATCCCGCTCCATGACGCCCAGATCCGCGCCCACGATATCCGCCAGGTCCGTCTTGTTCACGACAAGCAGATCACTCTGCGTGATGCCCGGCCCTCCCTTGCGGGGCACCTTGTCGCCGCCGCTCACGTCAATGACATAGATGATGAAGTCGGCGAGCTCGCGCGAGTAGTTTGCGGCGAGGTTATCGCCGCCCGACTCGATGAGGAGGAGGTCGACGCCGCCGAACTGGGCGTGCAGGTCCTCGAGGGCGGCGAGGTTGGCCGAGATGTCCTCGCGCACGGCGGCGTGCGGGCAGCCGCCCGTCTCGATGGCGCGGATGCGCTGCGGCGGGAGGGCCGCGTGCCGCGTCAGGAACTCGGCGTCCTCACGCGTGAAGATGTCGTTGGTCACGGCCGCGAGAGAGTACTTTTCGCGCAGCGCCAGGCAGAGCGCCAGCATGAGCGCCGTCTTGCCAGAGCCGACGGGTCTAAAGGACAGGCGCGTCGTCTTTTTGTCAGCCGATTCCGCACGTCTACACTTGGCTCCCCCTCTTACTACGTTGCATTGCGAGACGAGATGCGCAAGTCCTCCTTATGCAGAGACAAGGCCGCCGGCGCAGTCGGTCAGGACCGGTGGCGGGTTATACGCGAGGCAGACGTACCCTCCGATGCCGATGGTAAAGGCCCGCTCGGACCAGTTGCGCCCCTCGACGATGGGCATCTCGCGACCGACGTAGCTCCCCGGCCCGTCGAGGATCTCATGCGAGTGGCCGTGCTCCTGGGCGTTGAAGCCGCCGGGGCCGTCGTGCGAGTGCGTGGCGCCGCCGTCGTGGGCGTGGGTGTGAGACATGGTGGGCGCGCTTGGTGAGTGCGTGTCGGAGAGATTTAGACGGGCGATTGCCGGTTCAGGAGCTGTAGGACGATGAGGGTATCACGGGAGGAAGAGAAGGGCGAGGAGTGAGAAGTAGAGGAGGGGGAGAGAGCTCGGCCAAGGTCGACTGTGAAAGCTTGCTTCTTATCGTGGACCGCAGATCGGCGGCGTTGTTAGTGGGGGAGGGGTCGTCGACTGCGGGACGGGCTTGGTATTAGTAGAGCGCTGACAGCTGACCGACGCATAGATGCTCAACCTCCATTGGAATTGCCCCTTCGACTCGTCATGACTCTCGAATACACCGAGCTCCTTATCATCACTTCATGTAGCCCAATTCGCACCACTGACTTCTCTCTCCGCTCCTCATCAACCTCGTGCGGCGACAAGAGCAAACGTGCCCCAGAGGCGCTATCAGCTGGATAGCTTCGCCGAGCCATTTGGCCCGGTGGGGTGGCCGCCGGCCTAGCTTCTACTACCGCGATTCCCAGCCGGCCGGATCCGAAGGCAGAGCCGTCTCGTCCAAACGCTCTGACAGATGAGAGCCAAGCAGCCAACACCTCGGGGCTGCTGCAGCGACAAAGCCCCGGTCCAGACCCTCCCGCGGAACGCACTCGATTCGCGAACCGGTGCTGTGCGGGAGGCGGGAAGACGTCAGTTGTCTTGCGCGCCGGGTGCGCTGGCACGCTCCGTTGACGGATGCTCGGCAGCCCGTGAGACACTTTCGCCGAATGTCGTTGGCCGCCGCTGAGGGTTGACTTCCCTGATCCCCTCCCTTGCGAATGAACCGGTGCAAGCCGCCTGCGGGCGATGCTGTGGCAAGCAAAGCAGCACCGTGCTTGCATGAGATCCTCAAGTCACGAACGGCTACCAGACTGGCCAGGTCGTCGAAAATGTCTCGCGTGTCTTGCGCGATCGTGATGTACAGTATTCAACACGTCTACTATTACAGGGCTCTCCTCATACCGGCCGAGTCGCGCCGCATGATTCCCTGGGCCGCACGCCCGACGCCTCACTGAGACCCGGGCGCGGGCGACGTACCCTCCGGGACCTCGGACACGCCGGCCTGCTCCAGCGCCGCCGCCTTCTTCTGCGCCATAATCTGGCCGAGCTTCTCCAGCATCTCCTCGCTGAGCTCCGGCTCGCCCTGGGAGTCGCGAATCTCCCGCTGCATCTCGTGGAACTCTTCCAGCGGCGTCTGCATCGATCGGAGAGCCTCGTCCCGTCCCGCCATAATCTCCTCCTCCATCTCCTTCTGCTCGACGTACCAGGGCTCGTGTCTCGTTCGGAACCTCGAGTACTTGTTTCGCAGCTCGTCGACCACCTTTTCCGGCATGGGCGGGGCCAGCAGGCCGTAGTAGAATGTCCGGTCCTCGACCTGCTCGCGGACCGTGTCGGCGGGCATGGCCTCGTACTCGGGCGCCTCGACCTCGGGCCAGGGGATCACCACGTTGATGCCCGGCACCACGCGGTCCCACTTGTTGCCGTACTCCCAGCGGTCCAGCGTCATGTTCTCGGACTGCATGTTTGGCGGCACGGCCTTTAGCTGGTTGATGACGACGTCGCGGGTGACGCCCGTCTCGGGGTTGCGTATGGGGTAGACGAGCCGGATCGAACCGACGGATATGGGCATCGCTTGTGACCGCGCAGGGCTGTCAAACATGCCGACTGCGAGCGCCTGTGAGGTATTGTCAGCCTTCCGCTTGTACCAGTGCCCGAGATTTCAAGCGGTGCGTACCCTGTGGTGCGTCTCCAGGGTGACGGTGCCGTTCTCCGCCTGGACGGCCTTGATCCTGTCGATTTTGCCCTTGTCGGGCCCGTCCAGGATGACGACCCGGTCCTGCGGCGCGAGGTTGAGCTGCTTCACGCCGCCGGCCCAGGCGCAGCGCTGCTCGACGACCTTTGGCGGGGGCTGGTGCAGGCCGTAGTTGGACCAGTCCTGCCGCACGTTCTCCCTGAAGGCGCCGTAGTTGTTGAAGCCCAGGTCGCGCTTGGGCGCCAGGGGCCCCATCTCCCAGTCCTCCTGTCTCGCCCGCCTCGCGTCCTTGAGGTTCTGCCTGACCTCGGAGACGGCGCTCCGCAGCGCCTGGCGGTTGCGCATCCGGTGGTCGATGGCCTCCTGCTCGACCCGCTGTCGCGCCCGGCGGCCGGCCTGGCGCTGGGCCTGGGCGGCTCGCTTGACGAGTTTCTGCATCGTGAGCCGGCAACTGGACCAATTGGCTCGTCCTGCCGTGTGGGAGTCGAATTCGGCCGGCACCCGTTGTCGTGGAATTGGGCTGTCGGCGCTGCTGTCGAGGATCGCGTGCGTCGAGGTTCGTGAGGTGCTGGGTCGGCCTGGAAATTCTCACTGCAGCTGCGGAATTACCCGTCACAGTGTGATGACTCGAGATGTTGAGTTTTCACACCGTATTGGATGCCGATACAGGGTAGGCAACTTGTGACCGAGCTTGCTCGTGGGCAGAGTGCGTGCCCACGCAACGCCATTGATCGCCCAGATAGGTTCAGTGATGCCGATGGATGGTGGGATTCATGTAGGTATTGCACCATATTCGTGCTCATTCAGTCCCTGCCGTGATACAGTTGGCCCCGAATCGCAAGAACGGGGTGCAGCCCGATGTCTCATTGCCGGCCGCACGCGATCCACGGGGCTCTCAATTGCGGCAGAGCACGTGCAATTGGGTTCCATTCATATGCCGTGCCTTATTATGCTATGAGTGTGCTCCGTCTCACTGCAAAGCGTTTGTTGGACGGCCATCCTTCTCGTATCCAACAGGACTGAGTGTCATCGTGGCGCATCACGTGCGGCCAAGGCCCGTGTTCCGCTGCCAGAGTCCTGCAGCAGCCTGAGGCGCATCTAGGACTTTGGAGGCCCAGCCAGGCGCGCAAGTCCCGTTGCAGTTCTCGGACGCGGCAAGAGGCCTGGCGAGATCGATCATGTGGGCGTGGCGAGTCGGGACGCAGCGCCGGTGGCACAGCAGGGCTCCCAGGCTCGGTGCTACCCAGGCAACGGCCAGCGACGCTCGCCCGATAAGGTGGCCAGGAGCAGTGCATGATGCAAACGCTCCATCACGCATGGCATGGCGGGCAGGCCTGGCCTCGCGCGTCCGCACCGCAGACGCGTCTGGGTGTTTGTGCGGCAGACTGGCAACGACGGCAATGGACAGCTCGACACCACGACACCCTCCACGGCCAGGGTGTGCCGTTCTCGTACTTTGTCCTGCCTCGTTGGAGTGACGACAGCCAACTGCAGCGGTGACCACGCCGAACGACTCGACCGAAGCGATGTCCATTGCCCGTCCGCCGCGATCCCTGGCCGCAGGCGGAGCCGTCATGGGGCGGTCTGGGCTTGGCCGCTGGGGAAGCCAGCATGATGACTCCGTACCGACAAAGTACGAAGAACAAGTCAGGTAATAATTGTGACCCGGGCTTGCCAGGGCAGGGCATGGCCCCGGGCCTCGTCTCGCCGGTCTGCTGTCCCGTGTCCTGGCCTGGGTCGTCGGTGTGACGGCGCACAGCAGCTGCGCGAGTCGGCGTCGCTGGTATGCCGCCGCCGCCGTGCCTGGCTGATATCCTGCAGAACGGGTGCTCTACTGCCTGTATTGCAGGTGCCCATGCGGGCCAGAAGCTTCATCCGGAGTTCCATAAAACGGTCGACAAACCACCAAGAGACGACGATCGCGCTACGTTTAGCTTCTTGTTAGGCGTTTCCAGGGCCTGCGCCGTCGCCCACTTTATCTCGGGGCTTGGGGACGGCTGCTCAGCTCCAGTGGCCCGGCGTCCCCCCTGAAGGCCCGCGTGCGCCTGTACCTGCCCGGGCGCGGGCAAATCACGGACGCGCTGGCGTGCGCCCAGGGCCCCATCCTTGGGAGTTCGCTGAGGTGTTGCCCCACCAATCTTCAGTGACCCAGAAGGAACAAGCAGAACCTTGAAGCTTTGCACTGCGGCCCCAGCTGACGACCGCAGCTCCCTCAACGGACGGCACTGCCCGGCTCGCCTGCGACTGCGCAGCTCGCGGTGCGCTGGATGACTGAGCGGAGCCCGGCAGGGCATCCATCAGACGGGCAGAGTGGACAAGGTTGACGCCTCTCGCACCCTGTGCTCGTTGTCCGTAGATTTGATGGCGATCCCTGGCTGCAGGCCAGTCCGCGGCGGCAGAGGCCTGCATCAGCCAGAATCAGCCGCCTGAGGATGCCGAGGGCCAGATGGACGGTCCTGAACTGGCCAGCGCATGTCCTGGAGGCAAACAAAGCGTCCCGTCTTTGTCCCGAAAGATGCCCCCTACCTGAGGCTTCCCAGAACGCGCCCGCCAGGGCCAACGGTCGCTTCAGTGAGGACAAGGTACCTCGAGGGGAGTCCTGCGGCGCCTGTTCCGAGCTCCAGGTGTGCCAGGCAGTGCAGGCAGGCTGGAACGTGACGTGAGGCAGGCAGGACGACGGCGGACATGGTGACGAGGGCAGCGAGGTGACGAGGTACCTGGAGCATGGGGTACTCGGTACTTCGTACATGTCGTCCATTACGAGGCGCTCCGGGCGGGCCTGGCTGCCTCAGGAAAGGAGACGGGGTGGTTTGTCTGCGGGCCCCCGTGGTCAAGCCAGGCACAGTCCCTGGCGAGCTGCCGGCCTCCGTTGTTAGTCTCTAGGTACCCCTGCGGCAGCCGACCTGCTATGGGGTACCCGCACAGCACCAAGGCGCATCCTCTCTGAGCCGCGCCTCCGCCCCCATTTCACATTTCAGGCCCCAAGCCTCTCTTCATTGGGTGTGTGTGGTGCCTGACACAGGTCCCGCGGGCAACCAAACCCCCAAAGCCCCCCTCCCCTTCCATCCGTCCAGCGCCCGTTTGCCCCAGCACAGGCGCCCTGTCCAGCTGTCGCGCCTGAACAGGACGGGACCTGTTCTCGATGGGCGCCTGCCCCCCTATCGCTCCTATCAGCCGTCAAGTACCAGTGACAAGCGCCGCGAGGCCCCGACCCAGCAGCCACTCCCAGCCAGGCTGGCCCCAGGTCCAGGTCCAGGTCCAGCGCACGCAGAAGGCCACTCCAGTCAAGCCCAGCCCAGCCAGCCCAGCCCAGCAGCGGCCGTCCATTCTCTCCCACCGCACCGTCACCATCCACCGACCATTCCCCCTTCTGACGTCCGTCCTCTTTCTTCCTCCATCCACCACCACCTCCCAGCTTGTCCTGCCCTCGTGCATCCCCAAGCCAACGCCCTCGCTCTTCGTCGTCGCGCCTCGCATTCTATCGTCATCCCGACACAAGCACACACCATGGCTGAGATCCGCCGAAAGCTCGTCATCGTCGGCGACGGTGCCTGCGGTAAAACCTGCTTGTTGATGTGAGTACCTAGCTCAGCTCCTCTCCGCCCCCCCGAATCGTAATCACAGCCCGCTCGCTCGTATCTCGCACGACAGCCTCTGCGCGAGCTGCCATCGCCAGCGGCCTTCTCCCCTTGCCAACGATCATTTTGCTGATGCATTTGCAGTGTTTTCTCCAAGGGAACCTTCCCCGAGGTAAGAATTGATCAAACGTCGAGCACCTGTCCGCCCGCCTGCCTGCCTGCTGCCGATTCTCCACCCGCCGACCGTCGCCGAGCCTCAACAAGGAGCAATACAACGTCCCAGCAGCCAACGCTGCCCGTGGCATCGGCCATTTCGTGCTTGGCTTTTGCGGCAGCCCAGGGCTTGCGATGTCATTACCCTTTGGACGGTATTTGCTGATGCAGGCGCTCAGGTCTACGTCCCCACCGTTTTCGAGAACTATGTCGCCGATGTCGAGGTTGATGGCAAGCACGTCGAGCTGGCCCTGTGGGATACGGCTGGCCAAGAGGACTACGACCGTCTCCGACCCCTTTCTTACCCCGACTCCCACGTCATCCTGATCTGCTTCGCGATCGACTCGCCCGACTCCCTCGACAACGTCCAGGAGAAGGTACAGTGTTCCTCCTAGTGCACTGCTGCTGTCCACTCGGCAGAGCGAATGTGCAAGTACATAAGCAAATGCTAACGCATGTGCCTCGCTTGCAGTGGATCTCCGAGGTCCTTCACTTCTGCCAGGGCCTGCCCATCATCCTGGTTGGCTGCAAGAAGGATCTGCGATACGACCCCAAGGTTACCGAGGAGCTGCGCAAGACTAGCCAGAAGCCCGTCACTGCCGAAGAGGTAAGCCCTGATTCTTTTGCCGCCCTCGCGGCCGCGTCAGACATGCCGTCGAGGACTTGTCTCCGCTGTGCCGTTTCACCCCGGACGGCTGCGTGTCCAGTGCAATGCTAACATGATCATCAATCCAGGGCGAGGAAGTTCGCAAGAAGATCGGTGCCTACAAGTACCTCGAGTGCTCGGCCAAGACCAACGAGGGCGTCCGCGAGGTGTTTGAGCATGCTACCCGCGCGGCCCTGCTCTCTCGCAGCAGCCGCAAGAGCAGCCACAAGAAGTGCCTCGTGTTGTAAGGCGGGGGTGTCACCGGGGGCGAGCCCGTCCATGACAAACACAGCAGCCTGTTTTTTTATTCGCATCCATCGGTCACCCTTGTAATGCAATCAATCGTCTTTCCAGTCCACACTCAATTCTGGCCGGGGTTGTTCGGATGACACACAGGGTTTGGGACGGCCTCGACGGCGCGGGCCCGGCGCGTCTGCACAAGATTCTCAATGTTTGGGGTTTGATACCGTCTCGTCGACGCCTCGCTCAGCCAGTTTGGCTGGGGCCATCGCCTCGGCCCGCTTGCGCGTGACGAGTGCTCACTGTTCGATATCCCGGGAGGCTGCCGGCCTGCCCTCTCGGTCCACGTGGACTGGGGACGCGGAGATGGCTCGGGCCTTGGCAGCGTGCTGCGCGCCTTCGTCAGACAGGAGGTGGAGGGCTGGGTGCGATTGTTTTATGTATCTGTTGCGCAACCGAGAGATGGGCCTGAGACCTGGGACGTGTTTGTTTTGCTCTGCAGCGGCCTGGAGAGACGGAGGACCAGGAAGCGTGCGGACAGCGGGAAGGAGACTGTAGTGGATTTGCCGCCTGTTGGGAAGTGCCGGGATTCGAGGCACGCCGATGACGGCTGCATACATCTTTTTTTGTCTTGGGCCGTCGTTTTACACCTTGCTTAGTTGCGTTTTTGTGCTTGTGTCGTTGGACTTTTTGACGGCGGTGCATGCATGTTGCTGTTGGTCTCGACTCTCTCTCCTTTTGTGGCTGCTTGGCCGTGTTGGTGACTTAGACAGCAGGACGGAGCATCAATAGTAAAGCTGGACTTTGTGGTATTTGCCTGACTGGTGCGTGCCGTGGTGACTATCGTCTACTCACTCCTTTGCATCGACGCTCTACGGAGGGACATGGACGTGGACTCGTGGAACGGTCACATCATCTTGTTTCTGACCAGAGTCCATTCGGCTGTCTCGCCCCCATGGCACTGCGGCCGTAGAGCTTTGACCTAGACTGTGGCTGCTACATAGGCGAAACCTGCCAAGGCAACATCACAGCCTGCCTGGCCGTGGGCCCGCCTGAACACATAGGGCCGCCGCACTCCGATCTGAGTCTCTTCAGCGCACCACCTGAATGTCAAGTCACCCGCCACCAACTCCTCCCTCGTCTTCTTCGTTGTCTTCGTCATCATCATCATCTTCATCATCGTCGTCGTCACATCGTCAACCCCGTCTCCTTCACTTGCTGTCCCCCACTACGGATCGCCCTGGGGCATGGCGTTGGCGGGGTGCAGCGACCACGGCTTAGTTGGGGCAGGTCTGTGGAGGCAGAGCAGGCGGCTCAAGTTAGAGACGGTTACTTCTTGCTTTGCTATTTTGTCCTTGCGCCATGTGTCTGGCGTGGGGCCTTGGAGAGGGTATGGGACGGGGATGAGATGTGATGAGGAAGCGAGAGGAGAGAGGGGGGCAGAGAGGCAGATGGGTGACAGGATAGGTGGCGGAGAGGAAGCAGGGGATAAGAGAGGGAGGCCGGAGGGGGGGAACTCACGGCGCCGCAGCTGCTGCAGGTCTTGGTGTTGCCGGCGGCGGCGCCGCACTTGGGGCAGCTGGTGTGGTTGTAGTTGACGGGCTGCATCTTGTGTATGTAGGCGGTGTCTTAAACTACTAGGTAGGCTCGTGCTTTCGTAGGTGCGGTATTCTTCTTCGAGACACAGGTTGACTCCTTCGTGAGGCGATGCGGACGTCTTGTTGAGAGCGCGCGGTGGTGTGATGCGAACGGTGGGATGGACGGATGGATGGACGGGACTCCAGTTGCGTTTGCAAATGGCCGCGTGGTGGTTCGTCCGCGGTGGAAGCGGGGTTTATATATTCGTCGCTGTTAACTATTAATATGGCGGAGGGTAGGTCCAGAGGGGCAGTCCGCGCGCGGCGGATGGGGGCCGTGTAGGATGGGCACATGGCCCCCTGTGACCCCTGCTGCCCACTTCCATACCTGGTACGTCTCCCCGTCGACGGTACCTACCAGCACGGCACGGCGCCGCTCATCAGTACAGTATTGCGGATGAGGTTACATGATGCGGATCGAGTACTGTACACGTGTGGCAGTCCGGATTGGGGCCGAGAATAGACTCGCTGCAAGTGCCGATGGGGGTGCGTTGTCGTCGTCGTCGTCGAGGAGAGGGGAGGGTTCCATAGTCCATACCTGCCCGCCCGGCTGGGCGATGCACACATGACCGCCCGGAAAGGCACTGACTCGGCGCGGGGACGCCTACCTATGCGACGCCCAGTGATTACAAGCCGAGGGCGGCTCTGTGCTTCCTTCGAAGCATTAAGTGAGGCTGCCGGGCGGGCGGGCCATCACAGCGTGAGGCAGCAGCTTATCATGAAGCCCCAGGCCTGTCTCTTATACACATCTAGATGTGTATAAGAGACAGGCTCTGTGCTTCCTTCGAAGCATTAAGTGAGGCTGCCGGGCGGGCGGGCCATCACAGCGTGAGGCAGCAGCTTATCATGAAGCCCCAGGCACTTAGGAAGTAAGTAGAGAGCCAGCCAGCCAGCCAGCCTAGGCTCCGAGCAAGGCAACCAGGCCCCATCTGCTTGCTTCCAGGCCAAGCTCTCTCCCCTCCTCTCTACCATGAGAATGGACTCTCGCGCTGTCCCAGTCCGCGGGGGGTGCACCGAAAAGCCTAAATGAGACGATCCGTGTAGGCAACGATAAAGGACGACGAGCGCGTTGGACGAAGAGGCTGCGTGACGTGTGACGTGCAGGCAAAACCAAGCCAGCCAAGTCGAGGTCGAGTCGAGTCGAGTCCCCATTGCTGCGTGAAACGGTGCAGGTCCTGGGGCCCTCTCAACGGACCGCTTACACGTCCTCGTGATGCATGCGACGGGCCTGTGGATCTGCGCTCTGCAGCTTCGACAGCCAACGGACGCACGCACGACGGGCCCTCCCCCCCCCGTTGCATTGGTCCCGGTGCAAGGGGTCCGCATGGTGGTGGCGTGCAGACCACGGCGCGCGATGATGTATCGTCGAATTCTATCTGCGCTCAAGGAAACGCCAAAGACCTTGTATGCAGTCCCTATCCAAAGGCCTCTCATCATGCTGCCGTTGCTGCTCCTGCGGGCTCCGTCCTGCTCGCAAATACCATGTGCCGTGTGCTCTGCCGCAGGCGTCATGACCCCTTGCCCGTCCCGGTATGCGATGCCCGGTCATACATGTACAGTCCACCGTTCATCCATATCTTACACCGACGACTCGGTCGTGCCCTGCATCAACAAGCCCTCATGTACACGCCGCGGGGCCTTCGGAGCCTACAGTCACACAATCAGAATACTGCCGGTATGCAAGCGCCCGAGGGTCAGGAAAACGTACCGTTTATCATCTTGCCAACCGCCTGTATCACGCTGATGACCATGACGGCAACGCCAAACACCACCACCGCGTACGCCATGTAGGTGCGCCAGCTCCGCGTCGTGAGCTTGATGTAGCACATGGGCGGCAGGATGTACGCCATGGCCACGGCGCTCGTCGCGCCCACCAGCTCGAACACGACGCCCAGGTCGCACGTCAGCAGGCTGATGCCCGTCGCGCCGGCCACGAGCGCCGTGCTGAAGATGAGATGCCGCCGCAGGTTGAAGGGCTCGTCCGGGTACCAGTACGTCAGCATCACCTCGCGGCAGACGAAAGCCTCGAGCGGCAGCGTCGTCAGCATGTTGAGCCCGAAGAAGAGGCGCGCCACGTTGACCATGCTGTTGTCCGAGGGAAAGTTGTTGAGCACGTTGCCCAGCGTCTTGTCGCCAAACGTCAGGAACCCCGCGAGCGCCATGACCAAGCACGCCAGCATGGACACGCCCGTCGAGTAATGCGTGACTCGCGAGAAGTTGTCGATTGTCGGTGTGCGGAGCGAGCCGTAGATGAGCAGCGAGTTATGATGGCATACAAAAGCTGGTCCGGTGTTAGCTGGAGAGGTGCAAGCAACGACAACGACTCATACCAAATGATATAACGCCGATAGCCTGGAATATGCCCCCGTTTATCGTCAACAGGGGAACGCTAAACGAGCCCCGCGACTCGGACGGAACAAACGCCCCCTGTATTAAGACCGTCGACACAATGACCATCATGCCGATGAGCGCAAACGTGCTCGCCTTGGCCAGCTGCAGAGTCCGTGTGGTCAGCCCAACTCTGCCCTCATCCGGCCTGAGCAGGTAAACCTACCTTTGCGATATCCCGGTACAGCGTCAGTGGATAGCTCACGCCCATGACAAACACCGCAATGGCCACCCTCCTGTCCGTCAGCAGCCCGATGACGGGCACCTGGGCCAGCTCGGGCCATATCGCCAGCAGCACGTGCGGAATCGTGTCGCCGACGATGACGCCAAAGGCCACCATGCCGCCAAACGCAAAGACCCACTGCGCGATGCTGATGGCGATGAGCCCCGCGCGCCCGAAGCAGTGCTCCACGGTTCCCTGGAAGCTGCTCGTGCCGCTGAGCTTGCTGTTGATGACGATGAGGCAGATGGTCCAGTCGACCACAATGGTCAGCCCCACGAGCAGCAGGATGCCCGCCAGGAGGCCCGCCTGCCGGATCGCGTACGGCTGCCCGATGATGCCCGCGCCGATGATGGAGTTGGCCATGTTCATGAACGCCGACTTGAGGCCCGACTTGGGCCGCCGCATCTCGGCGTGCAGCTCGTCCGCGGCGTCGCCCTCGTCGTCGCCGTCGCCCCACGCGTTCGCCACGGCCACGCTCGGCGCCTCCATGTCCGTCAGCAGCGGCACGCGGTGGTGACGCTCCCCCTGGCCGCCGCCCTCGGCGATGTCCAGGTCGAAGCTCCGGCTCGCCTCGTCCGACGAGTACGACATCCTGCCGCCGGCCGAACCGTTGCCCGCGCCAATCACCTCGGGCGTGAGGTCAAACTGCACGCGGTGCGGCGTCCGCGGCGACTTCTGGGGCGTCGCCGCGAGCTTGTCGTCGCTGCCGTTGGCGTCGATGCCGACATGTGTACCTAGGTCGTCCTCCTCGTAGTTGCCTGCCAGCAGGCCCTGCCCCTCCTCGTGCCTCGCCGGTTCGCCATTGCTCTTGGCCGGTATCATGGTATGAGGATCTCCGGTCCTCTCGTGCACATCTTCGCGGACTGTCGGGTCGGGGTGCTGCTTGCGCGGGTCGGACGGCCTCGGACAGTCGGGTGCTCGCTGCTGACGGCGGGCGCAGCGACGTAGTTAGGCGCGGTAGCGGCACAGGGTGCTTCCCGACAGCTCTGGGACGGTCAGGACGCCGACTCGATGTCCTCGTTGCGATGCAAACACGGCAGCCGTTGGTGTCTTGGAGCTGATGTTGCAGCGGCGATGGGTCTGGAGCTTCAAAGTGTCGAGGTCCCGTCCATTCCAGCGCCGGACACAGTCGCAGCTACCCGTGGCCGTGCCGGCTTATAGGGAGCGTTTTGGAGTGATTATGTCATTCTTTGGCGGCAGCCACTGAACGCCGCCGCCGCCGCCGCCGCCGCTGCTGCACCTGCGTCATTGGTGCGGCGCTGTCCGCAATAGGGGTCGGCGTCGAGATTAGTCGCGCAATAGGGGGCCTCGGTCGCTGCGACGCCAGTGCTTCCTGACCGCAACCGGCTGCTCACTTGGACTCGCCGCCATGGAATTGAACACGTTGCCATGATGCCTGTTGCATTGCATTACATATACACTACATTTATATAAACCCCGATGTCAGGGCAGAAGTCAGTCAACTGCTGGGGCCGTCCCCCTTGCTCCATCGCGTGGGCCCCCAATGGGTATCGTGTGTTTGTGTCTGTCGTCTCGGTTGTTGTAACTTGTAGTCTGTCGCCGTCCTTCATGCACAGAAGCTATCCACCGACTCTCCAACTGTGCCCTGGCGAGGGCATTGACTCGTAAAGGACTTTTGAGCACCGTCGTCTTGCAGCTGTCCTCAATTGGGCCGCCTGGTGTCATCTTCGAACAATCAGGCCAGCGCCGCCACGAGCGCCGCCATCACCATACCCGTGCAGAGCTTGGTGCTGATGCGCGCGCCACCGGCCGGGGCTGCAGAGTGCGACGTCTCTGACGGCTTGACGGCGTCGCCAGTGGCCGTGGTGCCGGTAGTCTGCGTCTCATGGCCGCCGAGGCCCATCGTCGGCTTGCCCGACTGCTGCGAGCTCACGCCGGTGACCAATGTCGTCGAAGTTCCCGTCGCCGAGGCCGTTCCTTTGCTGCTAATCGAGCTTGAGCTGGTCTTGCTCGCGCCAGCAAGCTTCGCGAAACCTATGCACCTGTCAGCATGAACATGTATCAAGACGCCAGAGTGTCGTCGCAACTCACCGATGCGCTTCTGGTCCTTGTCAAAGACGGCATACACGTTCTTGAGAAACGTGTCGCCGAGGAGCCAGGCGCCCGTCACAACCTCGTGCCCGTAAACGTTGCTCGTGCACTTGCCCGAGCTGTCCTTGGGCGAAACCCAATCAGTGGGAGAAATCGTAAAGTCGACCCCCGAAAAGGTCAGCGTCAGGGGCTTGTTGCTGTCGCAGGGGACCGTGTAGGTCAACCCGTCACTGCTCTCGGAGCCGGGGATGACGCTGTGCACCTTCTTGACCAGGTCTGCGGGGCCAAAGATGAACGAGGTGCCCGTGTCGATGTAGCTCTTGACTCCACCGGCTTGAGCCTTTGATCCGCCATACGCCATGTCGTCGATGGGAATGGCCCAGTCTCCGTCGCTGGAGCTCACGGACGTGTACGTGATATCGCCCGTGTACTTGTCCGAGTTGGTCGACCCAAACCGGATCTCACCCGTATTGGTGCCGTCCGAAGCCCGGTTCAGGGCAATGGAAAACATGTTCTTGTCGAGCTTCTTGGCGTCTCCCATCGACTTGATAAAGTTGTCGTTGGCGCCCTGGCTCATGGACAGGCCCAGAATGCCGTCAAACGCAAAGCGGGTGAAGTCGTCTGACGTGTTGGAGGCGAGGCCAAAGTTGTACGTGAACGAGACACCGGCCAAGGAGATGGTGTCGGTGGCCAGGGTTCCACGCACGGTACCCGATCCGTACGAAATGGAAAAGTCCTTGTTGGCCGTCTGAAACGTGTTCGAGTCGCCGGGGCCGAACGTGTTGTGCATGGTGCAGGCCTTGTCTGTACATGAGGAGCCCATGACCCAGCTAGAGCCGGCGCCCGTGTCGACCAGCATGTACATGGACTTGCCTTTTGACCCGAGCTTGACCGTGACAAAATAGGAGTAGTCTGCCCCGTCCTGGTTGATGCCGGCGGTCATGTCGTTGGAGGGGGTGGCGGCCTCCATGACCTGATACTGGTTGGATCGCTTGGCGACATCGGGACGAGTCTCGGCTTGGGCGGAACGGGATCGTCCGTACTTGGTCGCCAGGCGCTTGGCCTCTTGAGCGGCTCTCTCGGCGGGCTTCGTCGATGTCTGGATCCCAAAGGTTAGCACCGTCGTCGGATCGGACGACTCGCACCATGTACTGACCAAATCCGGCTTGCGTTGGAGACCCAAGCTAAACCCTGAGGCGCCCTCCGCGTCAACATTTCGACTTGCCTCGCGTGAGGAGATTGTTGCATCCTGCTCCTGCAGCCAGTCTGGGGTGAAAGGGAAGAATGCGGAGGCGGACGACGTCCACAATGCCAGCTGCAGAAGCGGAACGGTACGCATGGTGAGGTCGTGCCACGGGCACAGTCGTCGTACCTCTTGACGTTAACCACGGCACGGCAAGCTGCAAGTGGACTGCGGATCTCGCTGCCGAGGTATGACGAGGCTCGCGGGTGCTCGTGCGAGCCCAATTCGGCCAGGAGGTTGTCGGTCCGTGGGCGAGTGTTGCGAGAGGATCCGGCGGCTCGAGGCAATCGAGGGAGGCTTCTGGCTCGATTTCGGCGGGGAAGACGAGACGCGGATAGCGGCAAGGGCGACAGACGAGAGCTTGTGAGGTTCCGATATCGAGTAATTAGATATTATGCGGCATCGCTGGTCGAAGCAGCAATTCCAATGCAAGTCGAGGCGGGGGATTCGCGGAGAAGATGCTGGCGGCCGTTGGGGATGCTGCAGGAACCAACAAAGCTGTGAGCGAGGCAGGTCGTTTGCAAAAGGCGAGAAGCGGAGAGGGGAGAAGAAAGAGGCCCTTTGGTGCGTTTACACGTACCAGAAACTAAAAGGAAAATCCAAGAAAGCCAAGGCAACAAGGGAAACCGCGCTGAACAGAAAGAGGCCGCGTTGCCTGCCTTGGCGGAGCAACCAAAGTCGTGGGCGTGCCGTGTCTGGCTATCCCCCCTGCTAGAAAGACGGAAGTGCTGTTTTACAACGGCGAAACGAAACGGCAGGCAATGAAACAAGAGAAAATTCAAGAGAGAGGCTGCACTAGTATTTTTCCAAAAAGGTCGAGGCGGAAGAAAGGGAAAACAAATGGAGAATGGGGGGAAGCGGCGAGCCGTGAGGTGAAGTCGACGACGACGGCAACGACGACGAAGACGATGGTGGTGATGATGGGTGGTGGGGAGGAGGGAGGACGGACAGAGGACGAGGTCGCCGTTCGCCAAGGACTGGAGGCGCACGCCCGCCTCGATGCCCGTAGCTCCATGGATGGATGGATAGGTTGGCTCCATCCATGGCGGCGGGCCACCAGCACCGATCGAGGCCGGCCGTCCAGCGTCCACAGCAGCGACCAGCCGGCTCGAGGGCGGCGGAGTGGTTCACGTCAATCACTGCTGCGGTGGGTCCCAGCCCGGGGTCGCTTGCAGGGCGGCCCTGGAACCTGGAAGAGGGTCTCAGGGAATGCCAGCGGTTGGCCCGGGTGTTCGACGGGGGGGTTCGTGAGGGCTGGGCCTGGGCTGGGGGGCCCGCAAGGCCCCGCCCCGCCCCCTGGAGACGTGCAGCTGGGCCCCGACTGGGCCGCACCACAAACCGCCCAGGTTGAAGCAGGCAGCGCGATGGACGGCTTGCCCAGGAGCCTGGCTGCTGCGTCGTCACCTGCGATAACGACGCCATGGGATTCGGCCGACACGGGCTGGGGCGCATGCTCCGCGGGCTCGCGCCGGCCCCTACTGCTGCGCCGCTGGTGTTGGCGCTGGCACTCTGGGCGGCCACTCGCAGCGCAGAGCACTCACCATGCACCAGGAGGACCCATCACCCGCAGCTGGGCAATGTCCGGCCCTGCACGTTGGCTTCGGGCGGCACATGGATCCCAGGATGATGGATCGATGGCAAAGTCAAAGCGCGGGTGTTTCGTCCGATGTTGCTGCGCTGAGCTGAACTGAAGAGCTCGTGTTGCCTACGTGTGTGCCCTGCCCCTTGTTCCGTCTCGTCGCAAGCCTCGGGCGGTGCAAAAGAAACTTTGGCGCCGTACATACGACTCAGGGACGGGCCAAGGAACCGAGCACTCCAGGCCTGTTCCTTGGATTCGATCACGACCACCAGCGAGCGTCGGCCTCGAAAGGGGGGGCGCTTTCAGCGGGCAGCGAGCGGGTCGCCCAGCCCGCCGTTGACGTCGGCGGATGCGCGGACGGATGGGGCCCTCCCCGGCGGGCTGCCTGCTGTCGCCGCAGTGGCCACCTGCACCTCCTGAACGGCCGCGGCGCTGGGAGCTCGGGCGGCGCGTGGAGGAGAGCGCTGGGCGGGTGCCCGCCCCATTGGCCCCGTCGGCCGCCGAACCTGCCACCCTCCGGCATTAGACTTTGCAGGCTGGGGCGCGGGCCACGCACATGCTGCAGAGATGGAAACAAGGGCGCTTGGCTTTGGGGGGCGCTTGAAAAGCGGGTTGACGACGCGCCTTGCATGTGGTGGTGGAGGAACTGCCTGCGCCGCCTCGTATTGCTGCTTTGCTCGTGTGCAGTAGATAGTCATACGTAGGCGAGGTGGTCAGCTTCAGTTCAGCCAGCCAGCCAGCTCGCCAGACCGAGCCGCAGGTCCACCGTCACTGGCATGGCCGCTGTTGCCCTTGATACGGCATACAACAAGCGGATTGCAATTAAGGAGCTCAAGGGCAGGACGGACGAGGACGACAGGGGAGCTAGGGCCCGCTAGATTTGCCGCTGTTTCGGATGCGGTAATGGCCCAAGCTCCCGATCGACAGGCCAATTCGCCGCCTCGAATCATGGGACGGACGCCTCCGCCGCCAGGGGCATTGGAGGCTGCCATCTGCTTGCCAGTCGCACTCGACTCGCTGTTCCATGTGTGCCCATCCGTCCATGTTATGCCACTCGTCGCGGCACTGGCAGCGCGGCCCGGAGCGGCAACCACCACGTCGAGTCTCGACGGCGCCCCCTTGTGGCACAATGCAGCGGCCCCCGTCCAGGGCGGCGGCGGCAGCGGCTGCGTCTGCGATTAATTGCGCTGATTGATTTGATCGGTTTCGCTTTCCGAGCACACACGATGCATGCATGTTTCTCGGCCACGCTCCGATTAAGGAACATGCATGTATCAACGTCGCGCGACTCGACGCGTAATGGCCCTTTGCGGCGTTGCACTGCACAACTCTTCCATTGCGGCGGTGCATGCACCCGGATCGCTTCCCATCCCATCTCCCCCTCTTACCATGTTATCCAGGCGAGCAATTCCATCTCGAGATTGCCATCCGACTAACTAACTAATACTATGCCCCTAGCGGCCCATGTTGCATCGCCCAATCCCTCCCTCTCCCCTGGGGCTCCCCCGCGCCAAACAGGGGGTTGCGATGCTGATCTCCCACCGCCCGCTGGGGAAAGAACATGGGATGCGGCTTTTGCATCTCTCTGTTTGGCATTCCCATGCCGCAGTGCCACCCAAGTTTGACAAACCAACAAAAACAAGAACACACTGATGAGGCAGGGACATGAACCGTGTGATCCATCTCATCAATCGGCGTGTTTACTCGTGTGTTGTTGACGAGACATGGGACGGGCCAAAAATAGGCCACCGTCTCCGAGACGCACCGCAATATGCTCGCATAGCAGACAGCGGCTGTCGCTCGTCTGGAACACGGCGCTGGTGTCTAGTCGTGAACACGCCCGCCAACACCGCCAATGCCGTCTACTGTTTCAGGCTCATCTTGGCGGCCCGGCTGCTCTCGCGCGCCCATCCATTGTGGGCCGCGGCAGATTGGGCCACGCCGGACAATGGGCGTTTATTATCAGAGGCGGCGCTTCAAGGGTTAAGACGGCCGCTTGCCAACAGACAGACGTCACGAGCGCCCGCTCGGCGCCTATCCCAATGTCTGCCCAGCCGCTTGACGGCGACATTCATGTGCGCATATGCACCCGCGGTGAGTCGCTTGCGCCCGGTGCCAACTAACTAACAGACTCTTGTTTCAGACCCTGCGAGGGCAGCTTGGCCAGGGCCGTTGGCGAGTGTGGTCCAGGCGCCCTTGTGTGCCCGCGGCCCCGTGTTTACTCTCATTGACAGCATTCCTGTCGTGGCTCATGTGTCTAAGCGTAACTTATATGCAGCATGTGCAAGGCCACGACGAGCCCGGCATTGGGTAGAGCAAACGGTCTGGACGCCATTCAGCCGCCTGATCTCGTGTCTGGCGTCGCACCGTCCGACGCCGTCTAACTGTGGCTGCTCACCACGGCAGAATCACGGTCACGACTCGCAGTTCAATACAGGCAATCGTCGGCAGCGGATTGATTAAAGTATAAGTTTTGTAAGAGGCACACGCAGCAGCTCTGGCGTCGTGTGCTCCATTTCCAAGGGCGGTGGCCGTCCTCCGCTCTGGCAACAGGAGGCAGAAATGGAATGCTCGACGGATCCTCAAATGCCGACAAGCGTATTACGCTCATTCACGTCCCGATCCGCGCGAGTGCAGATTGGCCCTTTGAATAATAACCCTCTCGCAGCATCTAAAAGACTCTTGGAGGCTTTGTTATCCCCGCCCGTCACGGGCGAGCCTCTTCCGCAGTCTTTGCGCCATGCTCGAGCGCAACATGCACCTCCGCCACCCTTCCCCGGCACACTTATAGGGCCATGGCGGCGGCCAGCATGGCGGCGATGGCACCAGCTCCGGGTCCAGCGTTGGCACCAGCCGTGACGACCGGGGGCGCCGGCGGGGCGGTAGGGTTCGGGGCGGTCGTAGTGACGGTCTTGAAGCCCGGGCCCGGAAGGTTCGTGGGAGCGACAGGAGTGGCCCCTGACGGGGTCGTCGGCAGGACAGGTTCGGGGACGCATGAAGTATCCGCGCCGCTACCCGTCGAGGTGGTCGACGTCTCGGTCGAGTTGCTGAACCCATAGGTAGTTGAGGTTTGCTTCGAAGAGGCCGTTTCCGTCGAGCGTGAGGGCGAGGCGGGGGGCGTGCCGGAGCTGGTCTTCGCGGTGGTGGACGGGACAGGACCAGTGCTGCTGCTCTCGGCCGACTTGGAGGTTGACGCGGCCGTCGTTGTTGCTGCCGCGGTCGACGGCACCGTCGAGGAGGGGCTCGGAGTGACCGTCGGGACCGTGAGGCATGTGCTGGAGGCTGAGGCGGAGATCGTCATGAGTGTGCCAATGACCGATGGATCACACCCATCTTTGCCAGTAAACGAAAGGCATCCCATCATGCAGTTCTGCATAATGTCCGTGTTCTTCTTCAAGCACATGCAGATCTGGTCGTAATAGCCAGTGCAGTCAGTCTGTGGGATGCACTGGTCTAGGCAAGTCCACTATGCATTCGCGGGTCGAGTACCAGACGTTAGCAGCCATATTTTTAAGATCGCCGACAATTGCTGAAGCAATAGATTCCTGATTAGGACGTACAGTACACTTTGGCATCTCCGGGTACTGCCCCCCTGCCACGACGAGACTCGCAAAGGCGAGGGGTTTAACGATCGTGTTTGCCTTCATTGTGAACGGGTGGCAATGTGATATTCGGGAATAAAGTCGCGGATTCTGGTGCTTCAAGACTGGAGGCGTAAAGATTTCACCCAATTTACCTATAACACAAGGGCGGTTGAAGCTTGGAGAGGGGGTTTAGGAGGACATGGACGGGAGTGACCGCGGCGATGCCTTTTTTAAGGGAGTGAGCAGGAAGCAGCAACTACTCATGATGGGATGGGCTGATGGTCAACGACTCTCGATAGCCTCTAGCAGTTGCAACAGCCGTGTTTCTATGCAGCATGGCCTGACGTCCGATCCGGACCCTCACCGTGGCTGCCTCTACGCAGGTAGGTTAATGAGGCGGTGGAGTTCGAAGGCCCCAGCCAGTTCATCGTCGTCACAATTCACCAAGTACACCATCCGTCAGTCTGAACCGAGCTGCCCACGCGCACGACTACTACCGCTCCATGAGCCCGCGTCGTCCACAAAGCCGGCCGACGATGCTCCGCCCTTGCGGGTCCGGGCCGGTTCGGGTACCTGGCAGAAGACGCTGGGTAGGCCGCTGCTGAGCTGAATCAAGCCCTCCCGAGCCCGCTCTTCGCATCCGCAGGCCCACCTCGATCGTGTGAGCTTCGACTGCCGTCTGGCCATTCGTCGCCCGAGGCCGCGTCGGCTGTGGATGCGTGTTGGACATGCGAGCCGTGCTGATTCGTCCCGGGACGGGCCTCAGGGCCTTTTAATTGACGGGCCCGCCATCTGTTTGTTTAAACGTGAGCGCGATGGGGTCGCCATGTGAGGTTGTACTTACACCGTTCCCGCCGCGGGGGGGATTCGGTCCACCACCAACCCGTTATCAGGACTCAGGGGTCGGGAGAAGCCCGTGAGTGGTTCGAGGTGCTGCTCGAATCCGAACACGAGGCTATGATTGGGGTTGCAAAGCATTTCCACGCGTGAATAGTACGGCACAACGACCAACTCATGGTTGAGAGAGAGAGATGCGGAATCTACGACCGTTGCCTTGATCTGTGTACTTCGCACCTTCAAACCTACGTTCCGCGAACAAACAAGTGCGCGCCCCGCGATTTCAAAGTGCGTTCAAGCCTGGATTCACGAGCAATACCAGACTCAGGCCCTGCTTCTCGCGGGCGCCCAAGACAATTCCTGCCCACGCCTCCGGACACACTCGGCGTCTGCTCAGCGACAGATCTCAGATTAAGTACAGCTATCAGCAGCTACTAACAGGTGCCTCTTCTTTTTGTGGGTGGTTCCCGTCACGGGCGAGCCCCTTCGTAGCTTGACCTGACGGCTCGAGTGCGGCCTTCCCCCCTGCCCATGCCTGTCGTCCGGTCCAGCCCTCGCGACGGGCAGCCGAGATTGTCCGGAAGACTTCGACCCTCCCGGCGGTTCGAACCGTTCCAACAAAACGAGGTGCGTGCCCGCATCTACAGAGCCAGGAAAGCTGCCAAAGCCGCAACGAGGACACCATCTCTGGGCCCAGCGTTGGCGGCAGCCGCGACGACCTCGTGCGGCGGCGGGGCGGCAGGGCTCGGCGCAGTAGGAGTGGTGGTTGTCATGAAGCTCAAACTCGAAGGGCCCGTTGCAGCTGTGGTCGAGGGCTCCGATACAGATGCATCTGATGTCTCTATCGTGCAGTCCGACTCACAGGTCTCTGAAGCCCCGGCCGTGTTGCTCGTCCAGGACGTAGGACCAGTCTCGGTTGGCTGGACAGTGTCGGGACCCTGGGTAGTGAGCGACACAAGGCTCTGTGACGTTTCCGTCGTGTCGCTCGTCGGAGTGGCCGACCCAGCGTCATCTGATGTTTCCGTTGGGCAGCCCGCCGAATCGCAAGTATTCGAAGTCTCTGTCACACCGCTCGTCGAGGGATCCGAGGTATCTGTGGACGTGGCCGATTGTATCGTAGTAGAGATCTCTGGCGAGACGGTCGGTTCGGTTGTAAATGACACGGTATCCGACGAGGACGACTCCGACGTCGTGGTGGACGTCGCTTGTGAGCAACCCAGGGGGTCACAAGTACTCGATGTCTCCGCCGCGCTGTCCGTCGAGGTGGCAGGCTCCGAGGTAGTTGGAGTTTCCGTCGACGGAGTCGATTCAGAGGCGGTTGAAGTCTTTGTTATTGAAGTATCTGTTGACGAGGCAGTTGAAGCCTCTGTTGTCGAGACAGTTGAAGCCTCTGTTGTCGAGGCAGTTGAAGTCTCTGCTGACGAGGCCAGTTCAGTGGTGTCCGTTGCCCTGCTCGTCCTGGTCGATGGGGAGGTGGGAGACTCGATAGAGCTGGTTTCCGCGGTCGTGGTTGACGGAACAGAGCTAGTGGTGGTACTCGTCACTACCCAGGGAATGGGCACGATCGTCGTCATCGTCATCGTTTTTGTTGTTGTTATTGTCGTCGTCGTCGTTGCTGTCGCTGCAGTCGACGATGTCGTCGTCGAGGAGGTGGTAGCCGTGACGGTGAGGCACGTCCTGGAGGCTTCCTCTTCGATGGATTTCAGACGGGAAAGATCGAACTTATCGCACACAAATTTCTGATAATTCAAGGCCACAGTCATGCAGCTGTCAAACTCGTCCCGATGCATGCACATGCAAAACCGGTCGTGATAGCCCAGGCAGCCTGTCTGATCCACGCACTCGTCCACCTCGCGCCACTATGTAGATGCATCAGAGCGGGCACCGGTCAGTAATGCCGTTTGCCAAAGAGGTCTCCAATGGGCATATTCATAGTAAGGGCTCGAGTTGGGACGGACAGAACACTTTGGCAAGTCCGGATAGTAGCCTCCTGCGGCCACAAGGCCCGCCAGCGCGAGGGCCCTGGCAACCAAAGATGCCTTCATGAGAAACGAGTGACGATGAGGACTCTTAATGTCTGAATGAGTGTAGAGGGCGTAAAGATGCCCGCCTCGTTGGGCTGTGACACGACTGTCCGTTCCAGTCGGCAAAGGTAGGCTACATGAGTGTGAACGTAAAGGCGCTGGGGGACGAAGCGTCGACTCCGTTCAAGTGACCCGAAACAATATATGGCGGCGGAGTCAACGACAGTCAATACTGTCCTTGAGCTGTTAGCAGTAGCAGGGGTCTCATCTTCTCGCGGGGTGGGCTGATCGCCGACTTCCAGCCCTCGCCGTCTGGTAGTCAAATACAAGGACATTGGGATGCTGGAAGAGTGCAAGCCCCTCCTCCCCTACGAAGGAGATTCTTCGTCGCCATCAAGGTACGTCTACAGCTGTAATGGATGGCTGTCGGTGACTCGAGCGGCCACGAGCACGATTGCCGTTTGAGCCGGTCAAGACTATAAACAGCCGTTGGACGCTCCGAGGTCAACTTCATGTTGCGTGTCTGGGTCATGTCTGAGGCAATGGCCGGGTTTGAAACATCTGCTGAGCTTAATTGCTTGCAACTACTTATAAGCTCTCAAGCCCCTTCGACTCGTAGTAGGGCGTCGGCCCACCTCGCTCGTGTGAGGCTCTACGAGTACGACGTTTAATCATTCATCGCCAGGGGTCGCGTTGGCTGCGGAGCCGGACTGGAGATGCAACCCGTGCTGATTCGTCCATGCTGTGCTTGAACCTTCTCATTGACAGGCTCACCGTTTTGTTGACCACGAGCACAGCGAGAGGTCATGGCCAAGGTTCAACACAGTTCCCCGGGGCAACCCCTTATCAGGATTCAGGAGCCGAACGAGCTCCCATGTGTGCTTTGAGTGGCTGCTTCGACTCCGAACATAAAATGGCCTCCGGCTTTGCGAATTGTTTCCATGCGCACGGTGTAACGGCTTATTCGCTTTGTCCGGGATGCAGAACCCAGGAGTGTCGTCGAGGCATGAGTCCAGCGCTTGCCAAACATCGCTCGGTGGCGCCCATGAGAAGTTATTGCCCACGCCTCCGGACGCAGTCCGCGTCTGCCCACCACAATGTCGTGAAAGAAAAAAAAACTCTGTGGGGGAGCCAGAGTAGGCGACGGAAATACAGTTTAACATGGGTCTTCGCGGGGAGGGGCGACAGGGGAGGGGGTTCCTCGCCATCGATTGCGAGCCTTGTGCCGCAAGTCGCAGGAAGGACGGGGAGACGGCGAGCTGGCGAGGCGAGCTGGGCTGCCAAGTGAAAGGCGGCATGTGAAAGGGCCGCCGAGAGGCAGAGATGCCGTCTTCTGGGATCTCGGCCTCAGAGACACACAAGGGCAACGTCTCGTCACGCCTGTGCGACATGACAAGAAGGCCAAGAACGGCATTTATTACCCTGCTTATTTCCGAAACCGAGGCTCATGCCGTCCACGACCCGTTGCAAAGCGACCTCTTCATCGATAACCTCGATATCCGCTTCTCCACTCCAGCGTGTGCCATTGGAGTGGCGTCGAGTCAATGCCGGCGGGCGATATTCCCGGTCGAAGCCGAGGTCTCTTGACGACGGTGCCGCAAGTCGACATTCTACTACGCCCTTTGACGCCGTCTCATCGCCGGCGGTCAGTCGACGACAGCCATGATACGGAGCACTCGCGCAGTCTTCCAGCTCGGCAAGAGTAGTCGATTGGGCTCTGCGGTGCAGCTTGGACAGCGATATACAGTGAGAAGAATGGCGTCGTCTTTCCGCGTGGTTGAGCATACCGTCACGGGATGCCATACCAGGGAGTATGTCGCGGCGACTGCGCATGGCGACTCCGACACTCCCAGGCTGGCGGTGAAGCAGTATATTCCGCTGGACAACCCCACGCCGAAGCCCGGCGATGTTACAATCATCGGGGCTCACGCGAACGGGTTCCCCAAGGTCAGAGACAGAGGCCCCGCAAGTCCCTGCTTTGCAAACTCTAACGAGGACAATAGGAATTGTATGAACCGCTTTGGGAGGAGATACATCGGCGGACGTCTCAGGCTGGCTTCCGCATCCGCTCCATCTTCATCGCGGACATATGGAATCAGGGGCAGTCGGGTGTCCTCAACGAAAAGATTCTCGGAAACGACCGTTGGTGACCCGTCTTCAATGTTACCACCGTTTTGTCCCAGCCACTGACCGGCGTCACGCAGCGAGCTGGTCCGACCACGCGAGAGACCTGATGAATCTCATCAACCAAAAGCAAGACTCTATCCCACACCCGATTGTGGGCATTGGCCACAGCATGGGCGGCACTCAGTTGTATGAGACCCCCAACTCCTCTCCTGGCCCTTGCTAACCCGACAGCAGATCGCTCTTGTCCCTTGCCCATCCACGCTTGCTCACATCCCTTGTGCTTCTCGACCCCGTCATCCAGGAACCAAACGGCAGCATTGCCCCTGCGATGGCGTCCACGCCGCGTCGCGATGTCTGGCCGTCAACGGATGCCGCCGCGACACGATTCAAGGGGAGCAAGTTTTTCCAGTCGTGGGATCCTCGAGTCCTCGACCGCTGGATAGAGTACGGCCTCCGTCAAGCCCCTACGGAGCTCTATCCTGCTGAGGGTGCCGCGGCAAAAGATGAGCGCGTCACGCTTACAACCTCGAAGCACCAAGAGCTGTTTACTTTCCTTCGGCCTACGTACCGGGGCGTTCCCGGGGAGGAGTACCTCGACAAGGATCCCGCGGCCGACGAAGAGTATCCCGGGTACCCATTCTACCGGCCCGAGCCGCTCCACGTCTTCCAGCGCCTGCCAGAGCTGCGGCCCAGCACTCTTTACGTCTTTGGCGACAAGTCAGACCTGTCGCCGCCGGCACAGCGGCAGGCCAAGATGGCACGAACGGGGACGGGAGTGGGAGGCAGTGGCGGAACTGGCGCCGGTCGCGTCAAGGAGGTTGTTCTCGACTGCGGCCACCTCGTCGCGATGGAAAAGGTGACCGAGTGTGCGGACGCCATCACCGCGTTTCTCGGGGACGAAATGGCGCGGTGGCGACGGAACAAGGCCGACTTTGAAAAATATTGGAACAAGAAGTCGAGGACGGAGCAGATTACGATTGACGGGGAGTGGGCTAACAAGGTGCGTCCAAACGACACATCGGCTGGGACGACGAAGCTTTAGCATGATGACGGCGGCGGAGCGGCGGTCCTCCTATGGGTCGAGACACCCCAGGCTATCATAGACTTAGAGCGAGGACTAGAGCATAGTATTCACCATTGCTCTGGAGCACTGAGATTTACTTTGAGCGGAGATGCACCCATAGTTCTGATCTAGACCTTCGTGTTATCAGTCGGCGTGCGTGCTAAGCATTGCCATGGCCACCGCAGACTTGACGGCCCCCATGCCTCGGAATGTCGCCCCTTGACCGGACAGCCGACAGCATTCCTCCCTCCAGGCGTGGCTGAAGAGATTCCGAGCACCCAATCAACACGTGCCGATTCCTGGGCAACATCAAAGCAAGGCTCTTTTCTCGTATTGACTAGACAGACGATGGCCTCGTTCAGGGTTTGACCAGGCACGTGTAAGTGCCAAATGCAAGGGGTATTCCACGAGAGCGTTAGCCTCGCCCCCCTGACTTGACCCAGCTCGCGGCCTGGTCGAGGGTTCTCCTTTCGGGGCTTCCATCTTGCGTGCCTGTCCGTAGTGTGCTTCTCGTAGTCTCAAACTGCAGTTCGCGCGCTGCGTCCACCGTTCCACCGGCGACCATGTTGCGGAGAAAGTACCAGACCGACTCGTTTCGCCAATGGAACGACTCTGCAAGCTGCAGCGTCTCGCTGAATACACCCGCTGCCTCTTCTGGCCATCTTCTGAGCAGGAACGTGAGAAACATCCACCCAGAGACATCGTCGTGGTGACTGAAGCACCAGCGCTTCGTGTCCATTACCAGTGACGGCCCATCCAACGCAAGCTTCGGTGCTTTGCGCGTCGAGGAGCGCGCGACAAGCTGTCGAGCGTGGCACCAGGCGTAGTAGTTGCGGGGGTGTCGCTCTGCTGACACGAAGACGACGTCGCGTATGTCTGCTGCAACGTCCTGCGTCATATCTAGCTTACTGAGCTGCGTCGTGAGCCATCGGCGGTGGCTCCAGAGAACAGGAGACTTGGTGTGTCGGTGAAGTCGACTGGTCAATAAGCTGTCGATAAGGTATTTATCCTTGCTAATCAGTTCTCTGGCATGTGCGGGCTTCAGACTGGGGTCGGATATGAGGCGTTTCCGAGTGTTGGCTGCTGTGAGGTGCTCGGCGTCCATGAGAAGAATGGTGGCAGTGGCTCTCAGCACCCTGTCCTCCGTCCCCTTTCCCGCATGGCGTATGTGCTCCTTTAATATTTGCCTGGCGACGATGAATGCTTGCACGAGCCGTAACTTGGGTATCGCGATGGCATTGCCGTCTTGAAGTACTGTCGTGTCTGCATCAGGGATGTGGCTTTGGCCCAGCAGCTCTACCTCGAGAAGGGAGCCGTGCGTCTGCACTAGAGCCGAGGATATTTCCTCAAAGACCCTCTCGTGATTGCCATTCTTGAGTGCCGCCTTGACGCCCTTGTCGAGCGCCCGGGACATTTGGAACGACTGAATGACGACTTGATGTGCGTATCTGTGAGCTCAACGTGGCTCCCGGGTAACTTGAGTTGGCCGTGGTGGAGCGAGAGGTTCACCGAGGAGGGTTATGTCATCAGCGCCAGCCAACAAGACAGCTCCAGCAAGACGGCGCAGTCGGACCCCACGATGCCACTCAAGTGCCAGCTCAACCGCCGTCCTCCAAGTTCGACCTCTCCGTCTCGTCCCCCCCGACGGCGCCAAGATGTCGACTCTCCTGTTTGTCATTTTCGCGATCGAGCTGCTGGCGCACGTCATCAACGCCATCGGCGCCGCCCAGATCAACAACCTCGTGCGTGCCCCGAATCCGGCCACCCTCGCGGGATCGGACCGCAGACCAGAACGCTGACGGAGATGCATAGCTCTGGACACTGATCAACTACCTCCCCGTGTCGACGTCCAAGGCCGCGGCCGAGCAGCGCAAGCTCCAGACGGAGTACCTCCGCGTGCGGCACGAGCTCAACGCGACGAGCAGCCAGGACGAGTTTGCGAAATGGGCCAAGCTGCGACGACAGCACGACAAGCTGCTTGAGCAGCTCGACGCCGCGAGTACGTTGATTCTCTACCGCTTCATACGATACAGGACGATGCTGACGCCGGCGGCTTGCAGAAAAGGGCCTCGAGGCATCGCGGAGCAAGTTCGACAACTACCTCACGGCGCTGCGGATGCTGCTGACCAAGGCGCCGCAATATTTCCTGCCCTTCTGGTACGGCAAGGAGCCCATGTTCTGGCTACCATACGGCTGGTTCCCGTACTACGCCGAGTGGATCATCTCGTTCCCGCGCGCGCCGCTGGGCAGCGTGAGCGCGCCGTCGTGGCAGCTCGCGTGCTCGGGCTTCATCACGCTCGTGTCCGAGGTGCTGGTGTTTGCGTGGACGGCCCTGTTCAGCCGCAAGACGGCCGAGGGCGGCGTCAAGGAGAAGGAGCAGGCCAAGACGCCGAGCGGCGGCCGGAAGAAGGTGGCCGTGCCGGCCGGGACGTCGGAGAAGAAGGAGCTGTGAAAACATCCAGGGGCTATGTCGCACGGGGCGAGGGTACTACTACTACATTATACGAGCATTGGGCACCGGGGCGCAATATATGTATCTCCCTTAATTTGACGCAAAGTTCCTCATTGCTTGACGCTGAGACTTTGTAACACGATAGAGAAAGACCCTTGGCAGGGTCATTTGGGCTTCTTCTAGGCAACATATTGACTCTAGCGACCACGGGGTAGAGATCGCCAAAGCTTCGAAAGTGCCAATGCGGATGTGCGCGCGTCACGGGGACTGAGGGGGGCTGCGGGGCAGTGACGACGAGTGATGGTCTATTAGTTCTATCATGGACGTGAGGTGTCGAAGTCGGCGACGGCGACGATGCTGGTGAGAACAGAGCTGCTGGCGCGGCTGTTGCGCGGTGAGGAAGGAGGAAAAGGTTGGCTGGCGAGAGGAATTTTTTGGTGGGCAGGATCTTATGGCGGACGGCGCCCCACACTCAGCCAGCCCCACTGGCGTGTCGCATGAACCAGCACGGCAGCATGGCGGGCATGGCTTGAGCGGCGGGCTCTGCCGCACCTCCAACTGACTCCAGCTACTGACTCCGCCCTGCCGACGACATTGGACGGAGCAACCTCCTTGGACCATTTGCCGGTCGTCCGCGACGCGACCCTAGTCGCTCTATTTACTTGGTTGATGACGAATGGACCTTGACCTGCTTGAAGCGTTTCGCCAAGATGCGCCCCTCGTACTTCGTACAGCTGAACATTTCTCTCTCGCCGCGTCGACCGCGGCGCCCTCTCCCTGCTCATGAATCCTGACCCTCAAGTCCCTGTGTGAAAGAGTAGTGAGATTGAGGCCGCCTACGGACTCTACGTCATGAGTGATGCCAAGAACGCAGACACGCCCTCGCAAGGCGACGCCGCGATACAGCAGCAGCAGCAGCAGCAGCAGCCCCCAGACGCAGACGAGCTCTGGCACCTCTCGCTCAACGACTCCCAGCCCGACACGGTCGTCCTCCTGCACGGCCTCGGCAGCTCGCACTTCGAATGGGAGCTCGTCTGGCCGCACCTCAGCGCCTACCACCTCCTCGTGCCGGACCTTCCTGGACACTCCTCCTCGGCGGCCCTCTCGCCATGCACCATCCCCGCACAGGCTGAGCGCGTCGCCGCCCTGATCCGTCGGCGCGCGCACGGCGGCGTCGCCCACCTCGTCGGCCTCTCCATGGGCGGCTTCGTGGCTGTCGAGACGGCGCGCGCGCACCCTTCCCTCACGCGCTCCGTCTTCGGCTCCGGCTGTGGCCCCTTCGCCGGCTGGCGCATGTGGGCGGCGCGGTACCCCGGCGTGCTGGTCGCGCTGCAGGCCGCGCACGGCATGCTGCCGCTGTGGCTCGCCGACTGGGTCAACGACGCGGCGTGGAGGGCGCAGGGGCTGACGGTGCCGGACGGCGCGAGACGCGAGATCAGGCGCAACGCGCGCGGGGCGCTGGTCAGGGAGGTGTTTGGCAGCATCGCCCTCGTGGAGCTGGATTCGCTGCGGGCGGTGTCGGTCAGGGCGCTGGCCGTGACGGGCGGGAAGATGGAGGATGTCGAGGCGACGAGGAGGCTGGGCGCGGCGCTCAAGGCGGGATGCGCGGAGAGCAGGGCTGCCATCGTCAGGGAGGCGGTGCACCCGTGGAACTTGCAGTTCCCGGAGCTGTTTGCCAGGGGCATCTGCGCGTGGATCGAGGGAGAGCCGTTGCCTGACGAGTTTGAGGATCTCCCCGAGACGCCACCGGCTGAGTAGGCCTCTGCGGTTCCGCCGACCGTGGCGCCTCGCGTAGACTGCAGACGAGAACATTGAAGAAGGGGGGTATCATTACGGCCAACAACATCTTAAACACTGCAAGAGTCCTCGTCACGGCCCGTCTACCGGCCAGCCAGCCACATGAACCAGCTACCAAACCACAGCGCGACCCTGAACCCCCAATACCGCACCCCCGTCCAGTGTCCCATGGCGATGCGGTCGTGCGATGTCTTGAGCGTCTGTCGCGCCCGAGGGAGTGCCAGCGCGTCGTACGCAGCCACTGCCTCGTCGAGCGAGCCCGCCGCGCACAGCCGACTGGCGAGGTCCCATCCATCCTTGAGGGCCATGTTGGCGCCGTTGCCGGCAAACGGACTGACAGCGTGGTTGCTGTCGCCCAGGAACACCACGCCGCGGAGGGACGCATCGCCCGCATGGCCAAACGGCTCCAGGTCCCGCGCGGGCAGCACAAACGACGTGTCCTGCTCCGTGGCGCGCACGATGCTGGCAAACGGCTCTGAGATGGCGCGTCCCGTGGTGAGGGCCTCGTCCTTGAGCGCTGCAAAGGCCGTGGCGGACATGCGGTCGTAGGGCGTAGAGCGTGCGTCCTCGGGCTCGAGCTGGCTCAGCGCCCAGACTACGCCGGTGCTGTCAACGGGGGAGAAGAAGCACGCAGCGCCTTCGCCCGTGAGCACCATGCCCCAGTTCCGGGTGAGGGGCGGCGGGAGGCCCTTGGGGAAGCGGCCCACGCCGCCGAGCTGCACGGCGCCGGCGTAGCGGAGGCTGTCGCCGGGCCGGAAGCTGGCGCGAATCTTGCTGTGCGCGCCGTCGGCGGCGATGAGCAGATGGCAGTCCTCTATCGTCGCTGCCTCTCCGTCACTGTCGCCCGAGGATGGCGAGACGTGCACGCGGATCATGCCGTTGGGGAGGCGCTCCGCCGCGGTGCACGTCCGATGCCAGTGGATGGTGTCGGTCTGCTCGACCCTCTCGATGAGCACGTCCCGGACATGGCGCCTCGTGATGCGAATCCCCGACGTGGGCAGGCCGCCGTATGGCGCGGCGTTGACGCGTAGCAACTCCCGCCAGGCCGCCGCCTCCCAGATGCGGAACCCGGCGCCCTCTCCGTCCGCATCCACGCCCGTGACGGCGCGGGCGAGCATCTCGTCGAGCAGCCCGAGGTCACGGCAGGCGACGAGCCCACCGTCGGCGTCGACGCCGTTGAGGGAGAGCGAGTAGCCCTCGCGAGCGGGGCCGATGCGGCGCCCGTCGCGGTCGAGGAGGAGCAGCTCGGGCGCGGGGAGGAGGGCCGACGCCGGGTCCTCATCCCAGAGCCGGCGCAGGGCGATGGCGAAGGAGAGGCCGGCCATGCCGCAGCCGGCGACGACGATTTTCTTGCCGGCGAGGAAGTGCATGTGGGGTGGTTGCGGAGTCGCCGCCGCCGCCGCCATGGTGATGCGTGAAGGGTTGTGTGTAAGTGAAAGGTGGTGGTGTGTTGAAGTGATGAGCTGCCTACAAATTGCCTGCGTGTTGATCTCTGAAGTGCTTCTTGGTTGGCTGTCTTGTGGGTGTCACAGCATTGCAGCCCAACAGCCTTATATATCAACATGGCCTGTCTGTTTGTGAGCCAGCATGGTCAAGATGCTGTAGCATTATCCTAGTTGTCGTCAACAGTGGATCCGCATTAGCCTTACAACTCGGGCTCAACTTACAAGCCATGGCTGACGACGCGCCAGCCGCTACGTAAACCACGGCGGTTGCCCAGCGCAGCCGATACACCCACCTCACTCGGACATTTGACGACAGCGAGAGCCGGGCCGACGCTCATCAGTATGCGCTTACGACCAAGGTCCCCAAACGCGCGTCACGATAGATGGGCGGCGTCAATCGTGGAGAGGTGACTGATGAAGGCGCCCACGGCCATTTCCCGATTTGGCGAGTGAGACTCCGTCGCGCCGGCACGCTCTGCCGTCTTACGGGGACGGCTCGCGTCCGAAGCCGTTGTTTTCGGGCCCGAGGGCGGAGCGGGTTCCAATCAGGAGCGCTTTATCCTAGTGTTTTGAGTTGTTTGCAAGCGGGCGGTTTGGACTCTGCTCTCTTGCTGTGTATCACGAGTCGTGACGATGAGGATCCATCTGGACAAACAACCGGGTTGCTTGCCTGGTGTGCCCTTCACCTAGGTCTGTACGCTGCCAAATCTCCAAGATAGGGAATTATAAAGCCTGTATCTTTAAAGGAAAGAGGTCCCGAAGAGGTGAGTGACAAGGCGACACGGATTCGTAAACGGGCATCGATTGAACCAGGGCCGCCGTGTCCGGCTTCATCGCCGCCCGGCCTACCCCCCCGCACCCGCCCGGCTTGCAGCTGCCCGGGCCGCTGAGGCGAAGCCCCACAGCGCTTCCCGGCGCCACGTCCAGCAGCCCAGCCCGACCGCCCCACCGGGTCCGTGCTCTGCCGCTGCCTTACAGCACCCAAAACCCCCCTGGTCCCTGACGTGCACACTGCCCTGCCACTGGAGCAGGCGCGGTACCTGGCGTGGCGTGTCCTCAACTCCGGCCCATTGTCCCTCCTCCAAGGCCCGCCCGAGCTTCGAGACAACATCCCGTCCCCGACATCGCCAGCTCCCACGATCCAGCACCGACGGACGGCCCCCCTTCCTCCTCCGCCGTATCGCGCGCCGCCCGCCACCATGGCGATCCCTTGGGATTCGTATGCTTTCCCTTGCCACCCCTCTACGTTTACCCACGACTGCTAACGCGCGCGCGCGCCTCGCAGCATCCGCTCCCTCCTCCTCTTCTTCGGCCCCGTCCTCCTCCCCAAGGCCATCTCCTGGTACCGCTCCGTTCGTGACGCCTCCCGCGCCGCCGACCTGCCCCTGCGCCCCGTGCCGCCCAACGCGCGCCTCGCCGTCGCCCTCCTGCTCGGCCTCGCCGCCGCCTTCCTCGTCAAGGCCCTCCCCGTCTTCGCACCCGAGAACCTCTTCGCCGCCACCCAGAGCCGCCTCCAGATCCCCGTCGACGTGCTCTTCGCCCGCGTCGGCGCCGCCCTCCGCAGCCGTGACCCCTCGGCGCCGGCGTCCCTCACCCCCACCGACGAGGCCCTGCGCGCCCGCTTCGTCAACCTCGAGAGCCGCCTGCTCTACCTGCAGTTCGGCCCCGAGGTGCTCGCCGACTGCCCGTTCTGCGCCGCCGACGAGCCGAGGACGTACTTCTACTACGCGCTCCCCGCGCTGCTCGCGCCGCACCTTGCCAACCTAGTTGCTCTCGCCGTCGTCACGAGCCCTTCGCTGACGGGCAAGCCCGGCGCGCAGTGGCGCCGCCTCGCCGTCGTCGTCGCGTCCGTCGTCGCCGCCCTCGACGTCTACCTCGTCAGCTCGTACAACTACCAGGCCAACGCGCGCGCGCTGCGCCTCTCTGAGGTCGACTTCTTCTTCTGGCGCACCCGCGCCGCGCGCCTCGTCGCCCTCGCGGGTCTCGACGCCCTGCTCGCGGGCTTGCTGTACCTCTCCGCTACGAACCGCGCTTTTGCGCAGCTGCCCTCGCCCGCCGAGCGCGTCGACAACGCGGCCCGCGCCGTGGCTGCCGCGAAGAGCAGGATGAGCGCCGTCGGCATCATCAAGAATACGGCGCTGCGGGACGAGGACCTGCGCGCCCGGTCCCACGCCTACTGGACGCACGAGGTGCGCCTCATGCGCGACGTCATGGAGGAACGCGAGGTTATTGAGGGCGTCAACGATGCGCTCACAAACAGAATCGACATTCAGGCCATCTCTAGGGACGCCGACATGTACGCCCACAGCGTGCTGGAGCAGCTGCGGCAGGATTCCGCAGACGGCACCATCTGATGATGTTTTTTGTAATTTGAAAAGGACAAGGCGCATATAGACATAGACTGGTATTTGAAGCTTCCGTAACGTGAAGCTTGGTCACGTCTCTGAACCGCTGAGCTACCAAGTGATTGCATGCAACGTATCCTACATGCACTGCATCCAAGTCAGAGGCATGTCCTTCCGAGACATCTATTCATTACTCTGGTCATTCGCCATCGAGGCGGCGCGACATGTTCTCCCGTCGCAAACACGCAGAATCTTGCGCCGTACACAATGCAGATACGCCTAGCCAAGTATAGCACCTCTCACTGTCCACCCCTCTTCACGGCCGCGAGTCGGACCGCCCCGTGCCCGTCCCCGTCGCGGCGCTGCTCGTGCTGTCCTTGCGAGACGGCGGGACGGGTGGCTCGCCGGAGCCCTCCTGCGCGCTGCGCTCCAGGAACCCGGCCCACAGCTCCGCGAGCGACTCCCTGTCCTTGGCTGACGTTGGCTCCGAGAAGAGATCTGCGCTGAGGGACGGCGAGCTCGGCGTGCGGTGAAAGGGCGACATGGGCAGGCGGAGGCTGCCGCCCGAGCCGCCGGGCCGCGCGAGGCCGGCCTGCTCGCGCTGCTCGTCGGTCCAGTTGAGGTAGCCGGCCATGACCTGCAAGACCTGGAAGCGCTTGGCGTCGCCGCGGTCGAGGGTGAGGAAGTGGAGGAGGTGGTTCGTAATAACTTGTCTGCGGGGGACGGTCAGCGGGCGGCTCGCCTCATCATCGCCTATGCGAGGCTGGCGAGGGGAAGCGGGTTGCATCTTACCTATCGACGTTGTCTTCTGGTTTCGTCTTCTTCAGGTAGCGCAGCGCCTTGGTCAAGTGGTCGTTGAGCACAATGGCCTCGTGTCTCAGCTTGCCTATCAGGAGGTTCTTCTCCTTGACCTCCTTCTCGAACGGCGCCGTGCGCTCGAGCTCCTTGGAGAGCTCCTCCTTGACGCCCTCGGCCTCGGCCCGGCGCGACTCGGCATCCTGGACGAGCCTCTTTTGCGCCTGGAGCTGCGACTCGGTCGTCTCGACCATTTCGCGCAGCTCCCGCTTGCGGGCTTCTTGGATCTCGCGCAGGGCGTTTTGCAGGTTGTCGACGAGCGTCGCCTGGCTCTGGCGCTCGGCGGCCGCGCCCTCGTAGCCCTGCCGCAGCGTGGCGACCTGCTCCTCGAGCTCCGAGACCTTGTCCGCCAGGCTCTCCTTGATGGAGCGCTCCTCCATGGCGAGCACCTCCCACTCGCCCATGGCGTTGGACGTCTGCGCCACCTCGTCCTTGAGGTGCTGGACCGTCCGCGTCAGCTCTTCCTTCTCCTTGTGCCAGTTGTGCGCCGACAGGTTGTTGCGGCTGCGCAGCGTGGTCAGCTCGCGCGTCGCGTCCTGCAGCTCGTCCTTGATCTTGTCGAGCTCGTCGCCCGTCGCCTGGGCCGCGGCCTGGAGCTGCTCATTCTGGGCCTCGAGCTCGTCGATGCGCTCTCTCGCCTCCTCGAGCTCCGCCTTGTCGCGCTTGAGCCTGTCGCTCAGGGACTCCTTGATCTTCTCGACGCGGCCGAGCAGGTTCTGGTACTGCTCCTCGGCGTGCTCCTTGGCGCCGTTGCTCTCCTCGAGGTCGGCCCGCAGCTGCGACGTCTCCTGCTCGTGCGTCTCCTGGATGCCCTCGAGCTGCTTGCGGAGCTGCTCGACCTCTGCGCGCAGGGCCTCGCGTTCCTTGCCCATGGCATCGAGCTTGGCCGTGGGGTCTGAGTCGGCGCCGTCGTTGGACGGTTCAACGACGTGGCCGTTGCCGGTGGGTTCGGGCCTGGTGGTCGTCGCGTCCGTCGTGGGGTCGTCCTGCAGGAGCATCGGTCAGCGACAGGTCACGGACAGGGGGCGGG